AATTATAAATAGAATAATTATAAATAGAATAATTATAAATAGAATAATTTTATAAATAATTATAAAATTATAAATTATAAATAGAAAAAAACAACACAAACCACACTGAAGCAATTAAGGAGACAAGGCAGGATAAGGGCTTAAAGATGTCCATAGATATCGAAACACACTGAGAAAGACGCCAGAACTCAGATAAGAACGGACAGACTAGAAATATTTTCACGCTTTGCTTCCAGCACTGGCCCATGCACAGTTTGTCCTTTTAAACAGTCCTCACAGCTGCAGTCCATGAAGGGGATCAAGGCCCTTTCCTCCCCCATAGACCAGGCCATTCACGTTTCTCCCTTATTAATTCCTCCCTGCGTGCCCTAGGATGAAGAGAGGATGGGCCTGGGTCTTCCTCTGAATGCCCAGCTGGCCTGTACCCTTCCCCAGTTTCCTCCACAACTTCCAGAGCCACACTCCCATTCCCTGTTGGCTGTTCCTCCTCTCCCTCGGAGTCAGATTCTAACAGGGGCATGACAATGTCTATGGAGACTCTCAGTCATCCAGGTCATGATTGTCTCAAAGGTTTGAGTCAGAACTGATGAAGTTTCCTGGATGAGAAGTGAAACGTCTTCCTCCTCAAAGAAAAACACATAATCCAGTTGCCATTTGAAAAAGCACTTTTGAGATATGCAGGAGTAACTTTTTAAAAGAAATATACTGGTTGTTTGTATGGCTGGATTTCTTTTAACTTTTTAACTTTTCTTTTTCTAGAGAGGAAATATCACAATATGTACAATCACTACTAGAAAATCAACACCAAGTTGATGCAGCGAGGGAAAATAAGCACTCGTTTTTTCATCATATCAGCTCGATACAGTGCCTGCAACAGCAGAAGGAAGAGGGAAAACACAGAAAATGAGACAATACATTTTGCATGTTGAAAGGAGGGATTGTTTATATCATTCTGTTAGATGTTTGAATTAAATTGAATTGAATTAAAAACTGCCAAAATAATCCATTTGGACAACCAAGACTGGATTGAGTTTTTTCATACTAACCGGCGAGGTGTGTGTGTGTGTTGATAAGCCCATCTCCTATACTAAACCATCCCCAACAGATGCCATTCGGTGGTAGAAGACATCTGGCTGAGGGGAGCCCACCTAGCCTCTAGTCCAGATAAATTATTTCATTGTTAAATCAATCCTGCCATTAAGAAACTTAAAAAGTAATAAAAACAATAGGAATCAAATATAAACATAGGTCTGCAGCAACCAGTGACTTTGGTCTCATTGAATTTTGTCTTTTGTTTCAGAAGCAGAGAAAAATGTTTACAGGATCGGATTGCTAGCTTTGCACGCAGCTTTGTTCTTTTTTGATTCAGGCTTAGGAACAGCAATGGGGGACTTAATCTTTCTTCCTGTAATTAAAATCTTTCATTACATTTTCTGCCTTCTTGTAAGAACAGACAGCAGGACCTTGATTTTCTTGTCTCGTATCCTTTTTCAGATATTTCAAGGGAGCTATCATATCCTCTCCTCAATTCTCTTCCCAAATCCCCCTGCCCACCATTTGTCTTCCTAGGACTTGGTTTTTAGCTGCCTCCTCATCCCCACTGCATTTTTTTTTTGTAATTCAGCTGAATCCTTCTTAAAAGGCAACACCCAGAATTGGACAGAACACTTGATAAGGGATCTGAACATTATATCGAATAAAGAATAGAAAATAATAATAAACCAATCTGGGTTGGTCACTGGGACCAGGTGTTTTGTCTCTCGAGCTTTCAGACTCGTACTGGAGCCCAGATTGGATCCTGCAACGTTATCCTGGGACACACATATTCGCCTTCACTTGTGAGAAAATAATAAAACACCTATGATAAGGAAAGCAACCAGTAAATGTGTCTCTCCCCCCCCCCCCCCCCCCGCAAAAGATACAGGTCTCTCCCTCTCCAGTAGCGTCCAATTTTAGGGGTGATGCTCATCTCCGTTTCTTAGCCAAGGGAGCCGAAGATATTTTCTATGGTCATATGGAAGCATGACTATACAATGAGGTACACAGAACACTCTTACCTTCTCACCGAAGTGGTACCTATTTATCTACTCGCATTTGCTTTCAAACTGCTAGGTTGGCAGGAGCTGGGGCAAATAACAGGAGCTCACCCTGTCACATGGTGATTGGATGTTGAACTGCCAACCTTTTGATTGACAAGCCCAGCCTATCTTAACCACTAGGTCACCACATCCCCTACAAAAGGTCCCCAATGACATCGTAATAAAATAAACATAGCCTGACCCTGACCATACATAAATTACTTCAGATACAATACTGCAATTTATAATGACAACTGATAGCCACCAAGGCTCTCCAGAGTGGCTTAGCCTTTGCTGCCTGAAATGCCTATCCTGCAGTGGCCAATTTGATGTTAAGAGAGGCAAAACATTGGTGATGATGAAGACAGGCTAAATTCTGCAGTTAAATCAGGGTTTCTTGACCTCAGCAACTTTAAGATGTTCAGCTTTTAAACATCTTAATTCCCCTACATCCACACACCTTGAAACTGCTGAGATTGACAAAGACAATGTAAGAATCATTTTGGATACTCTGGAATATTATGAAGCACACCCTGAGAAGCAAATGGCCTTGATGTTTCTAGATGCTCAAAAAGCCTTTGACAATGTGAGTTGGCGATTTATTTTACTGCAACTGATACAAATGGGCTTTGGTAAGAAATTTATCCAAGCCGTTGAAACAATATATCATGAACAAACTGCAAAGGTGATGGTGAATGGAGAATTAACAGAATCCATAGATATAAGAAAAGGGACAAGGCAAGGCTGTCCATTGTCGCTTCTGCTGTTTGTGTTAACATTGGAAGTGTTGAACAGGAATATCAGAGAAGAAAAAGAAATAAAAGGAATGAAAATTAAAAAGGAGGAGTATAAATTGCAAGCTTTTGCAGATAACCTGGTATTTATATTAGAAGGCCCAATGGAAACAACACCCAAATTAATAGAAAAAATAGAAGAATATGGAAAAGTAGCAGGTTTGAGAATAAATAAAGACAAAACAAAGATATTAACAAAGAATATGTTAACAAGACAAAAGAAAGAGTTGGAAGAAACTTTAAAAATACAGGTCACGAACAAGGTTAAATACTTAGGGATTTATGTTACACCAAGATGCAGTACCCTGAAGGAAGATAACTATGTTAAACTCAAACAGCAGATTGCGACAGACTTGATGAAATGGGAAAATTGCAACTATCATTGATTGGGAGAATATCCACAATTAAGATGAATATATTGCCTAGAGTTTTATACTGTACTTATTCCAGACAATTCCTATTCGATTAGGGAAAGAGTTTTTTGAAGATTTAAATAGAATTGTGCTGAAATATATTTGGCAGGGTAAAAAAGCAAGAATAAAATTAAAGCTGTTACAAGATGCAAGAATAAGAGGAGGGTTTGCCTTGCCCAATTGGGAGCTGTATTACCAGGCAACAAGTTTGATGTGGGTAAAGGAATGGATAACACTAAGGAACAGTAGATTATTGACTTTAGAAGGTCATGACTTACTGCTGGGGTGGCATGCCTTTCTCTGGTATAAGGGAACTAAAACACAGGGGTATTTTAGAAGACATTATATTCGTGAGGCACTGTTTTTGAGTTGGGAGAAGATTAAAAGACAATATTACTTAAAAATTCCAACATGGATATCAACTATTGAAGCTTTTCTTATCCAATAATATATAAAAAAGAACAAACAGTTAGATATGGGGAGTTACTGAATGAAAAGGGTGAACTTAAATCTATGCAAACGTTGCAAGAACAAGGTGTAAAAATGAATTGGTTTTCTTATTTGCAAATACAATCTAAGTTTGATAGACTCCAAGGCAGAAGGTATTTATGATAAGTTGACTGACTTAGATAAAATTTTGGTGGGTACTGATGAAAAGGTAATTAAAAAACTATGGACATCTATTAGAATTTAAATTGGAGGAGGAGCAAGTTAAAGAAACAATGATTGCTTGGGGAAAAATTTTGGATATGGGATTGATTCGGAAAAATGGCAAAAATTGTGGTCTCAAAATTATAAAATGACAATGTCAACTGCGTATAAAGAAAATTTGTATAAGATGTTTTACAGGTGGCACCTATCCACGACGAGACTTGCGAGAATGTTTAAGAATAAATCGGATAAATGCTGGAAATGTCATCAGATACCTGGTTCATATTACCATATGTGGTGGACATGCTTGGACGCAAAAAAATATTGGACTAAAATCCACACATGGTTGGAAAAAATGATAAAACAACATGTAGATTTTAAACCAGAGATCTTTTTATTGGGAGTCATACCAGACATATACAATAAAGAACTGAAATATTTGATTGTAAATGTTTTAACAGCAGCTAGAATTGTATTTGCGAAGAACTGGAAAAATGACAAAATACCTATGCAGGAGGAAGTTATCCAAAAATTATGGACTGTGCTGAAATGAGTAAACTGACATTTGAAATTAGAGAACAAGAAGATAAGCAATTTTATATGATATGGGATTTGTTTTATCAATGGTTGGATTAAAAAGGCATGGTAATATAATAGACTAGATAATTTTATGATAGAAATCTAATAGATTGATATAAAACATAATATAGATATATATAACCACTGGTTGAAAGTATAACATAAATTTTAAGATAAAACTTGGAACATCTTGTATAAAACGATGGAATAGTTTAGTCATGGATGATTAATAACTGATAAATATATAAACATATGTTAGTTTGATAATATGAAGACTGATATAAATTGTGAGTTAAATGACTACTAAAGTATAGCACAAAAGATACGTAACCAACTGACACACTGTATGTATATAAAATGGAAGAGGATTTTATGTTTTTATGTTTTTGTATGTGTATGTTTGTGTTTAAAAATAAAAAAAACTTTTTAAAAAAAAAACTGCTGAGATTGAGAAGTTCTATGTTGAACAACCCCCCGCCCCCCCGCTCCACTTCCCAAAAGGGTAGGGAAAGCAAGAGCCTCTCCAGAGATAAAGAAGTCCTGAAGACACAGAAGACTGTTAGTGGTTGCAACAAGACGGAAGACCCTATTTTCGAATACTTCCCTGCACCTATGCAATCTGTTTCCCACTTCTGGGGAACAAAAACAGCAAGCAGTGGGAGGTTAAAAACCTGGTGCAGGTAGGAGTTTTGAGTGAAGCTGGTTGCCTCGTTGCAATTCAGAAGTCTGTTGTCACAATCTGTGTCATATGTTGGTGGCTGTTTCATAACTTCTAATTATGTGGCAACCACTCAAACGTAGAGTTAGTTGTAACTATAGGAAAAGATTGCCCACGCACAGCCATAACAGAATGACAATTGCTTTTCCATCTCATGCCTCGTAGTTATACAATATACTGAATTCACCTTGTTGGGGTTAATTACGCAGTTTTATTGGTCAGGGGGAGGCGGGGGAGGAAGGTCTATCCATGACCAGGCAGTAAAAGATACAGCCGTGACTTCAAGGTCATTATTCACCCGTTTCCTCAGCCATGGTGATGTTTGTGAATAGCGGCTGACAGTCTGGGTGATGGGACATCTGCTTTCTCTTATGGAGCAAGGTGCCTGCTTTCAAGCCAGAGATGGGCAGCACACTGGCAGCTGCTCCCCTGAGTAGGCCACAGACCATAAACAGCCTCCAGGCAACCAATAAGAGAACAGCAGCCAGGAAGACAAAGCTGCTTTGTGATTTCTTCTGCCTTTTCTCTGTTTCTGCTGCCTTCTGCTGTTTTGAAGGATTCCCCCAGCGCAGCTGAATGCAGGGTAGGATGACACTGTTGTCCTGCCTCAAACAGCAAAGGACCTTTTGGATAGTGCGGTCCATAAATAATTATTTGAAAGAAGATCCCTACACCGCTAAACAAGGCATTATTTACCGCTTTCAGAAGAGATCTTCATGGGATTCCTAAATATCTAGCGACCATTTCCTAATGTCCTTTTGAGGACAAGTAAAGTAAAATCATAATGCTGGTAGCATAAGTGGGCAAACTGATTATTTAGAATTATTCCCACTAGACTAGTGTTTAGGCCAGATTTAGAGAAGGAAACTGTCTTGGGAAGCACCTAATCTTGGAATGGAATAAATAGGTTGGAACTTGGAAGGGATTTTAGAGGATATCTAGTCCGATAGCGGTCCAATGCAAAACATCCTGTATTGCACCATTCTTGCCAAATTGCTAACTACCCTTCCAGTGTCAGAAAGTCCACAAGCTTCCAACCCTGGAATCTATTCCATTGCTGAACTGCTCTAATTATTAGGAACTTTTTCTTGATACCCAGGCAAAATCAGTTCCTTCATAATTTAGACCTGTTGTTTCTTGTCTTCGGAAACAAAACTCAACAATTCTTCTCAGTCTTCTGAATAACCACCTTTAGATACCTGAAAATAACAATTATGTCTCCTCATAGTCTTCCCCTCACCTCCTTTTGTTTCCCGTGTAAGCATGCAGGGCTGGTAATTGGCCCAAATTCTGTATTCATTCTAGTCCTCGCATCTCTTCTCTGTTCTTAAGGCTTTACAGGAGAGGGTGAGGGGTGGTAATACAGTATATAAATAAATAGAAGTAAAACATAAAGTTTGCACGATTCCCTAAGGGCTCTCCCTAGACTAACATCTCAAATCAGTATCACCATCAGAACTCTACCTTGCTGAATCCCGCAATAAAAGTGGGGTAAATCCGGGTATAAGCTTCGCTATTCAAAACGAACCCCCGTCCAAAGCATTGCTTAACAAAAGGCAAAGGTGTGGACAAGATAGACCGGACACGATTGAACGAAACGCACTTAGGAGGTTTCCTATGAAAAAGGCACGGAACTTGTAATTTTTGTCCCCCTGCCTGCCGAAGCGAACACGCCAACCCCAAGCACGGCGTGGGGAGGGGGCGCAGAAGGACGGGTTACGCTCCCGCGCTAAGAGGCAGACACTCGGGGGACGCGGGTCGCCGGCGGCGGCAGAGGCAGCTCACTTCCTGGGCTCTGGTAAGTTCGACCGGGACATTCTCCGCGTTCCGCCAAGGAAGGCAGGAAGGCAGGCAGCGCTTCACCTGGCAGCTTCTCTTCCTTCCTTCCTTCCTAGACGGATCGAGGTCTCCGCACGTGCGATCCCAGGCTGGATGCGCAGCTGCCGAACCCCGAGACTGCAGCCTCCTCGTCTGGTTTTTTTTCTCGTGGAAAGTTGCGTCCAGGGAGATCGGCGTTCTCCTTCCGAAGTCCGGGGAAACCCGGCCTCGCTTCGCCGCTCAGAGGCGAAGACCCACTGACCACGCCTCGACCCGCTACGGATGTCCCTTTGAAATGAGCCAGGTGGCAAGGAAGAAGGGCGGGAGAAGCCCCGGGCGCGGCGAGCGGCCGGCGGCGGCTGGAAGGCAGCGAGGTAGCGAGTAAACAGAGGGCGCCAGGCCCCGGGCTCGCCGAAACTCGCCCCGGCCGCTCTCCTGTCGGCAGCCTCGTCCATTTTCGGCGGAGATGAGCGGCTGGGCAGGGCTGGCCGGGCTCCTCCTGGCCGTGGCTGGAGCTCAGGGGCAGCTGCTGCAGCCGCCGAGGGCGTCGCGGAGTAGCCTTCGCCCTGGCGCCGCGGAACACGCCGCTCAGTTCGACCACGTCTTCAACGGGACGGTCAACCGAGGCACGGAGCGGCTGTACTCCTTCAACTACACCAGCCAGGCGGGCCAGGTAAGGTGGCGGCAGGTGCTCCCTGGGGCAGGTGCGGCTGGAGCCCTGGAAGGCTGCGCTGCTCGGAGAGGGGGGGGGGTGACTCGGCTCGGCTGGCGGGCTCCCGTGGCGAGGCGGGAGGAGACCTCCGGGGGGCAACAACGGCTGAAGGCCTGCGGCGGGGCTCAGGTGATGGGGAAGGGAGGAGAGGGACAAGGCCTAGCGATTCGGAATTGAAAACCAGTCGGCTTCTTCATTCATTATCCCTTTCAGGTCCCCCTCCGCCTCCCGTTTTGGCAGTTTCCCAGGAGCTAAGCTATTTTTCTGAACTTGCTTTGTTTTTATGTGATTGTTTCTGCAAATAAAACTCCCATTTAAACAAACTTCAGATTTCCCTGTTCTTTCTGAGTCATGACAAATGCTTCTGTTGCTTCCTTGAGATAATGTCAGAGCGCATGTTATCATGGAATTACATAACAATTAACCCCACATTGGTAATCACAGGTTATTATTCCATCCATGTATCACACTGGTGGTTGTTTTGTTTTGAGGGGGATAAGCAATGTTATTCAAAGTGCAATAAAAGAAAATGTGTTAATAAGAGATTAAATTAAAGAGATGCTCATTCATTCTCTGTAAATGATCTAAATGTATTTCTTTCAATTAGGTAGAGTCAGGTTTACATCAGTGTGTGTGTATGTGTAAACCCTGAAGTCTGACAATGCACAAATGAAAGAAATATATATTCTTTCATTCATTTTCTTTAAGTATATTTCTTTCATGTCTATCACTTGCTTTTGCATTCCGTCCAATTTATTTACTTTTGACTCTTTCTATTTTACCATATACCAAAATAACCCATTCGCTTTGCATTCAAAGTACTTTTGCTTCTCCTGATATTCTCCAACTCTCAGTTCTATGTAAGAAAGAGGGCAACGTATTCAGTATATTTGCTTATTTTGATACACATTCCGTCTTTGCAGTAATATCCTTATTACCCACTCTCTTTTTATCAGCAAAGAAAAAAATACAATTACCTGGAAATGTGAAAAGAACAAATCCTTCACTGAACTAAAACATAAAAATAATAAAGCAAAACATGTAAATTTTTAACTTGCCAACCTTATAGACAAGTCAATGTGTGTATGTGTATGTAAAATATAAAATTAATAATTTTTCATTCCGTATAAGATTTATAATAAATAAAGGAGAAATGTTTCAATCCTGATGTCAAAAAACTCAAGGTCTCATTGTGTGGCCTCAAACTCACAGAAAACTACTGTTCTGCAGCCTCCCTTGAGGAGGAGCAGCTGTCTAGAGCAATGTGGGTGATTTCCCTTTCTTTCATTGTCTAGAGAGGTTTCAAAGAATTGATCTACTCACCGGGTTCTTGATTTTTCCTGTGATCATAAACTCTGCTTTTGCAGAGCCTCTTCAGTTCACTATAACTTTTACCTACTTACTATCCCTTACACACAAGTGAAGCCTTAATTTGAACAGACCAAGTGGGGTAAAGGTGTGTCCATTGTTCCCATGTCTCTATTTAGCATTATGTCTTCCTGGTGACATTAAAGCATTAGCATAAACATTTGCTGTGCATTATAGGCGAATGGCATCTTCTAAGCCCTACTCCCTCAGTTGAAAGAATAGCCTCCTGGAAGAAGATCCCTCCTCTTTTGAAGAAGCTACGTCAGGCTACACCTGAGAAAAATGTCTATGGTGAAATACGTTGCCTACACAGGTAGTCCTTGACTTATGACCACACTTAAGCCCAAAATTTCTGTTGCTAAGTGACACGTTTGTATTGTCCCATTTTACACACTTTCTTGCCACAGTTGTTAAGTGAACCACTGCAGTCGTTAAGTTCATAACATGGTTGTTAAATGAATCTGACTTCCCCATTGGTTATGCATATCAGAAACTCACAAAAGTTGATCACATGGCCCTGGGACACTGCAACCATCATAACTATGAGTCAGTTGCCAAGCGTAGGAATTCTGATCAGTGACCATACAACAGTGACGAGTGTAAAAAAAGATCAGTCATACATCACTTTTTTCAGTGACATTGTAACTTTGAACGGTCACTAAATAAACTCTTGTAAGTCAAGAACTACCTGTACTTGCTGAGGAGCTTTGTCTTTGGGGGAATACCTTCTGTCTCACATAGAAAGGGCTAGAAGTCTTCTCATCCAACCTCTTCCCTAAGGCAGGAGTCCTTCTTCCATTCCAGACAAATGGCTGTCCAATCTTGTCTTGAAAACCTTCAGTGGTAGAGCACTCACAACTGCAGGAGGAAACTGCTCCATTCATTCATTGTTCTCACTTTCAGGGAATTTCTCCTTAGTTCCAAACTGGATCTCTCTTTCCACTACTGGTAATTGTTTCTTGTCCTGCCCTCTGCTGCTTTAGAGAATAAGTCCATCCCCTGTGACAGCCCCTCAAGTACCAGAAGAAGCTATCATGTCACCCCCTAATTCTTCTCTTCCTTAGGCTAGCTATAGTTAACTTTCCTTAGCTGTTCATTATCTCATTTTTCAGGGTTTCCCAGGCATGTCGAATTGGTTTTCCTTTTAAGATTTCCATCCAGGACATTCTTTCTAATTTTGCTCTTAGTTTGTTAAAGTCAGCTCTCTTAAAGTCTAAAACAACAGGCTGACTTTGTCCAGTCACTTTTTCCTACACTATGGTGAATTGTATGACATGGTCAGTGTCCCCAAAAGTTCCTACAATTTCCATTCCTTCAACCAACCTAACCTTATTAGTCAGTATAACCAATAATGTGATTCAATCGGTTCGTACCGGTTTGAGTGAACCGGTTGTTAAATTACCCCTCCCCCTCCTCCCCACTATCAAAGTGGATTGTGGGTGCTGCGCTGCAATGGAGAAATGGGCAATGGAGCGGCCAGCGGAGGAGAGGAGAAAGCCAGTTTCCCTCTTTCTTCTTCCTTCTCCTCCTCCTTCCCTTGTGCTGGCTGTTCCATTCAGGGGTGCGCTTCAGCCGCTTCGCACAGGTTCAGCCAAACCGGATGTTAATTTTACATCTGGTTTGGTGAACCGGTAGTTTGGATGACTGGCTGGCCCTGCCCCACCCCTCCCAGGAGTTCCCATGTGGACCATTTTAGATCACAGGTAAGTGCAGGGCCTGTGCGGAGGTTCAGGGAGGGTGAAAAACGGGCCTCTCAGAAGCTCCAGAAGGCCAGAAATGGGCCCGTTTCTGGCCTATGAAGAGCCTCCGGAGCCCGAGGAGGGCGAAAATGGACCTCCCAGAGGCTCAAGAAAAGTCTCTGGAGTCCAGGGAGAGTGAAATAGAGGCCCCGCGACCATTTTGGCTCCCTGGGTGATGCAAGAGGCCAATTAGGCCATGGCCACCATGGTCACACCCACCCAGCAACTGGGCAGAGAACCGGTTAAATTATTTGAAGCCCACTCCTGGCTCCATTGCCTGTTTCTCCATTGCAGCATAGCACAGCATCCACGATTCACTTTGATAGCAAGACAGTGGTAATTTACCAATTGCTTCACTCAGGGTCAGGTTAGCCATCGTAGGAGGCTCATCTGCATGTGCAGCGGAGCTGGAGGATGAGGATGGGCCATGCCTCCTGTGACAGCCAACCTGACCCTGGGCAAACCAATTGTTAAATTATTTGAATCTCGCCACTGAGTATAACTGAGCTTCTAGTTCCTTCCTCCACCATTTGGGTGACGAAGTTGTCAACTAGGCACATCAGAAACCTGTTAGATTATCCCTTGACTGCAGAATTTGTTTCTCAGTTGTTGTAAGGAAGTTAAAGTTCCCCACTGTTGAACACCTTGGCTAACTGATTAGCAAAAAGTTTGTCTACATGTAGTCCTTGATTTACAACAGTTTGTTTAGTGACCATTCAAAGTTACAATGGCACTGAAAAATGTAACTGATGACTGTTTGTCACACTTATGATCGTTGCAGCATCCCCATGATCACGTGATCAAAATTCAGATGCTTGGCGACTGGTTCATGTTTATCATGGTTGGGGTTTCCCTGGCTCACATGATCACTTTTTGTGACCTTCAGATGAGCAAAGTCAATGGGGAAGACGGATTCACTTAACCAGATTACTAACTTCAGTGATTCACTTACTGTAACAACTGTGGCAGGAAAAGTTGTAGAATGGAGCAAAGTTTACTTAACAAATGTCTCGCTTAACAACATAAATTTTGGGCTGAATTGTGATCATAAGTCAAGGACTACCTGTATTTCCTCTGCTTGATTGAGTGGCCTATAGTTTCTTTTTCCTCTAATATTCACCCAAATACTTTCAAGAAAGCTTTTATCCCTAGTATTGCATACTTCTATAGTGGTGTAGCAATTTTTTACATACACAGGAACTCCCCCTTTTTTTGAGTCAGTTGGGTCTGTTTCTTTTGAACAATTTATATCCTTTTAGCATATATTCCTATCACTGGTTCCATCCGACTAAGTTTTAGAAATTACAGCAGCATTGTACCTGCCCTCATGTATTAGGATTTCATGTTATCCCTGTTTGTTACCCAAACTCTGAGCATGCATAATGTCTTGATAAGTCCGCTTCTTGTCTTTGTGAGCCGCATCCTAGCTTACTCCCATCAGAAAAGGATTAAAGCAGGCATTCACTGATGGGAGTACCCAGGATGTCTTCTCTTTGTCTATGCAGGCAGATGCCCTCCGTGTTACCGTGAAGAGCGACTCCAAAGATGACCAGTACCCTGTCTTGTTTGTAGTTCGGCAGCAAAAGGGGGTGCTGTCCTGGCAGCTCCCTCTCATTTTTCATGGGCTGTAAGTAATCGCTTCCTGTCATATTTATTTCTATCCTGTTTGGTTTTTCTTATTCCAACTTCTTACCTCAAATTCCTTCTAAAAAGATTCCTTAAATGGGAGCTTTTTACACTTTCCCTGCTAGAGAAGAAGCGTTCCTTCAGTTTTTTTCACAACATTACTTTGTCGTCTATTTATTCTTTATTGTACAGAGAATTTACCAAGTTAAGTGTGTAGAGATAAGGACAGATAGTAAGTTTAAAAAATAATTCAGTATTGCCGGTTTAATCTCTTTAATTGTATTTAATTGAATCCTAATAGCTATTCAAAGTTGATAGTAATTTCCGATTAAACAACTTTTGTTTTTACAATATTGGTTTTCATATAATCTTGGGCATTACCTTAAGCTGTCATTTGAGTAAATATGCCTAAAAAGTATTAAAATATCCAGCCTTTTCTCTGCTAAAAAGCTTTGTGAGATATATTTTGGATGTGTGAAAACTGTTTTGTTTTTGGAGTTTTGTAAAATAGACATGCACAACTCAAAATGGCTGGAAATATATGTTTACTATGAATTATACCTCTTTTGTGTTATACTTAATGTATTTGTTAAATTTATATATTTATATTAAAATGAATCCAAACTGGCTTGTAGTAAAGTACAGATATAATATGTTAGGAACAATGGGAGTAATGAAAGAAATGGGAGCACAATATATTTGTTTCAGCACAGTCAAGATAAGAGCCCGCTATCTGATCCCACTCAGTAATTAACAAACTGTTCTGAACAAGCTAGTTTTCAGGCTATCTTCCTGTGATAACCCAACTTGGAGGTTAGCAGAACATTAATTCTTGGGGTTTCTATGGCAAAAACAGAAATATAAGCTTCGTAGTACAGGATATCCATTTTTTCCAACATTTTATATTTGATCTGTCAGGGTAATTTCATTCTTTTAAAAAAACATCACCTTTTGAGCAAAAAAAAAAAAAAACCCTCTAACCACCAGCTTGCATTTAATATCCATCTACAACTGCTTCCATATTTTTACTGCTCCATTTTGGAAATAAAAGAAATGGGTGTCAATGGCTGGCATTCAATTCAAAATGATTTCAGGTAGCTACTGGAGAACAAAATGAAAGCCTTTATTGTAGATTGGTATAAAAAATAGGAACCTGTTTTAGCTTTCTGGGATTAGCTTTCTCTGTTCGAACTGAAGCCTGCAGGTCTCTAATCAAGATATCTAGCAAGAAGAATATTGTGTTTTGATTATGCCATTACCTTGTGAAATCCAGGAGAATAAACAGAGATTCTTATTTCTGTTGGAAACCAGTCCACAAACTACAAAAAATATCCCAGGTAATAATTATGAAGTGAAGAAATAACACCTAGATATATTGCAGATTAAAATATATAATTCTCCAAAATTGGATTATTCCAATTCATCCTTCCAAATTCAGTTACATGAGTAGTTTTACTTTTTAATCCCTTCAGTTGCTGGGTTTTTTTTTTCAAGCATTGCATCTTTTAAGGTACTTTAAGACTGCAAGTATTTCAAAAGCTGCTAGGGCATTTGGGCCATACTGTTTGATTAATACCTGTTTCTGTTATATACATATATTGTCAAACAAACACTAGAGAGAAATTATACTCAACACATAAACTCTGAAAATATTTTAATAGCTATTTGAAATCAGCTGAGTTAAAGTGTTGATCTGAGCATTCCAATAAAATATATTTTCTTGCTATTACAAAATTTGGCTTATTCCATAACACCAATATAACAATTTATAACAATATGATTTCCTATCATCAAAGTGATTCAGGATCAAAATGTAACTGCTTAGTAATCAAATATGTCTAGCAGTTTCATAGCTGGAAACAAAGATTCCTGTCTAGCAAAGCATATCAGAATTTCCAGAGTGTTAAATCTGTACTCTTCAAATTGGCTGAAGAGAGGAAGACTTATCAAAACTCATCAAAAATCTTGTGCAATAGTGGTTTGTTTAGGGACTCTCTGGCTAACTAATCTTGAAAAGGAGAAATAGAGTCAGACACTGTTAAATATCTGGATAGGAGACCACCAGGAAACCCCAGAGCTGTGGTCTAAACTGCGAAGTCAAAAACACCTTAGAAAAAAACAAGAGGACACCCTTTCTATATTATTACCAACAAAACTGCAGGGATATGTCCATAAAATCACCAGAAATTGAACTCAACTTGAAGACTTCACTCATTACCTTGCATCTGTTTTCTTGGCCAAATTCAAGTACAGAACATGGATTCTAGGCTGACTGGTGCTGGACAGACTTCAAAGAGAAAAGGTCACCAGCAATTAGGAATCGATGCAGAAAAGTCAATAGGCAGATAACGAGGTATAAACAGGATTAGTGAAGGTAGATAACAGAAGATAAGGCAATGAGACAAAAGGCATGATAGATGTATGCTATGGAAATTGTTCAGGCTAAAAAGCTAACTTGGATGTCAACAAAGTGCACGGATTATATTCAGAGTAGTACTAAAGGCCAAGAGATACTCTTCACCCACAGTGCTGGAACTGTTCAATGCCTGAAAGAATAGAGCCCTTGTGACGCCACTTATTGGCTCCTAGTTCATGACATATTCCAGACACAGTAACACTTCTGCTCTGAGTGAAGGAGTTATTTTTATCTCCTCCCTTCTGTTTTAAATGGCAGCTTGTTTTATAACATAGACATAAATATTTGGATGAAATTATCTTCATTTAGATAATATTTTATGGAGTCTGAGTGCAGGACCTATAGGACCCTCAAAGATTTGTCTGACCTCATCTTGCTGTCCTTTAGAAACACTTTTTAAAAACCTGAAGAGTTTGAAGAGTCCAGGGCCAGGTTGATTTATGATCCCAGCTGGTAGAGGATGGATAATTAGTATCTAAGTATATGTTTTTCTCCAAAGCATTATTTATACTCAACCATGTGGGCTTTTTTAAAATGCAGGTTTTATTCTGAATGTCAGATTTTGCTTTGTGTTGGCAGTTACCAAAGAAATTACAACTACACAGAAGTCAGTCGTACACTCTGCCCATCTGAGTCTGTACCCATGAATGGATCTTCCGAGCAAATTGTATTTATAAATGTAGCTTCCATGGCTCCTTATGATGCCCACTATCAGCTGCAAGTTACCAAGATTAAGAACTTCCAACTTAGGTGAGTGGTCAGTTTCTGGATTTACCATTTCAAAACAATGGAAAACTAAAGTTTTGTTGTTGTTGTTATTGTTGTCTGGAACACTATATCAAAAATAGCATTGGTTGAAAAATTAACACAAGAAATCCATCTTTAAGCATCCTTTAGGTAAGGATTATTCTACTCATATTTGATTGCCATGTTTAACTAAATTTATTTATTAATCAAATTCATAGGGATGCCTATCTCCTAGAAAGTGACTTTATAAATATATAACACAGCAATTCTCAATAGATTATCCTTATACAAATATGATTTGGGATATAAATATTAAATATCAATGTTTAAAGTGTTCTTTTCCCTTAAGATTATAAAGGATTATTATATACTCCCATTTATATATCATTTTGTTTTTATTCTTATGCTGTTATTTTCAATATTTGTTCATCTGTTTAAATAAAAAAACAAAAAACCTCTATATTTTAAAAATTCCCATGGACAAGGGGAATGGGAGGCCAGAGTTTAAAAAAAACACTTTTTTTTTAACTGATTACAAGCTGTTTAGATTGCCTGCATGGAGACAATGCAAGCTGTAGGCATATGTCCCGCTGATGCTGCAGACTGAAGTAGGGGGCGAAATGCACAACTGAGGATCCCACAAATGTGACAGGAATAACACAAAGAACAAGAAGAGAAACAGCTAGAACCAAACCCACAGAAAAAACATTAGCAATACATTTATCAATCTAGGCAATAAGCTATAATATAAGCAGCAAAGGCTTCTTGCTAAAAATATTAGCCTTCTATTATATATGCTGCATATCCCCACTTTTGCATGTCAAACCAATTTATATGCATAGCTGACCAGAAACAGAGTGAAGAAAGCAACATAGTGCTAACATATGGCATGCAAGCTAAAAAGGTTTAGCCTGAGTGTCAGCAGCTTGCTGGTAGCATCACCCTGTCCATCTGCATCCGCCCAATTTTTCCTGCCCAATTCTTCAGGTTTGGATTCTCTTGCCTACTGGTCCAAGGGCTTGCCTCACCTTTTAGCCTCACTTAATTCTGAGTGCTAATTCTGCATGCATCCAATTCTTGCACCATTCTCAAGAAGAATTTGGAAGGTTTAGAGAAGTACAATGAGGATTATCAGGTAATTAGAAAGTAATTACACAGTTGGTCTTATGAAGACAGAATGAAGGGGTTAGAAAAGTTCAATTTTGAGAAAAGGTAATTGAGAGAGTTTGAATACAACAGCAGTTTTCAAACACCTGAATGCTGTTGCAGAATGGGGAAAATACTATGAGCACAGTAATGAAGTCTGCAATTATTTGCATTTCTTGGATCACAAGGGAAAATTTACTGGAGCACTGGGGAACTATCTGAGAATGAAAAAGAACTGATGTAGTTCCCATATTAAAAAAAACAGATCCAGAAAATTATAGATCAATGAGCCTGACATAAAAACCTGGAAGATGTTGGAAGAGATAATCAAACAACAAATCTACAAACACCTAGAAGCAAACAAAGTTATAATCAGAAGCCAACATGGTTTTGTCAAAAACAGATCATGCCAAACAAATCATGTTTCATTCTTTGACAAAGTGACTAAATTAGTGGATCATTGAAATGTTGTGGACATAGTTTACTTAGATTTCAGTAAAGCATTTGATAAAGTAGACTACAACTTACTTCTTGGCAAGCTAGAAAAATGTGGGATAGAGAGCATCACCACTAGATGAGTTTGTAATTGGCTAACAAATCATACTCAACGCGTAGTCCTCAATGGAACTAAATATACATGGAGAGAAGTAAGTAGTGGGGTATCCCAGTATTTTTTGATTCAGTACTCCTCAATATCTATGGTCTAGATGAAGGAATAGAAGGGGAATCCATTAAATCTGCAGAGGATACTCAGCTGTCAAAAATAGCCAACACCCAGAAGACAAGCTCAACATCCAAAAATATCTTTACAGACTTTAACACTGGCCCCTAAAATGAAATTTAACATAGATAAAAGTAAGGTTTTACAGTTAGGCAAGAAAGCCAACTGTATAGGTGCAGGATAGGTGAAGCTTGGCAGATGCCAGTAACAGTGAGATGGATCTTGGAGTCCTAGTGGACAATCACTTAAATATGAGCCAGCCAATAATGTGTGGCAGCAGCCAAAAAAAGCGAATGCGATCCTGGACTGCATTAATAGAGGGTTAGGATCAAGATCTTGTGAAGTTCTAGTACCGCTTTACAAAGCCTTAGTAAGACCACACTTAGAATACTGTATCCAGTTCTGGTCACCACAATATAGAAAAGATGTTAAGAATCTGGAAAGAGTGCAGAGAAGAGCAACAAGAATGATTAGTGGGCGGGAGACTAAAACATATGAAGAACAGTTACAGGAATTGGGTATGATAGCAGGACTCCAATATTTGAGTGTCTCCTACAAATACAAATGAGTCAAACTATTTTTCAAAGTACCAGAAGGCAAGACAACAATGGTTGGAAACTAACCAAGGAGACAAGCAACTAAGGAGAAATTTTCCTGAGAGCAATCAGTCAATGGAACAGCTTGCCTTCAGAAGTTGTGGGTGCTCTTATCACTGGAGGCTTTGAAAAAGATCCTGGAATGGTATCTGAAAGGGTTATACCCTTTCACTAGAAGACCTCCAAGGTTCCTTCCAACTCTGTTATTCTATGTTCTGTGTTCTTTGTTTTCAACACTTCATATTCAGAACAGTAGAAGAAGTCATTATCCGCAGAGGAGGAACTTGTTTTGCATCAAATAAATATGATACATTTTTTAAAAAAATTAATGGATTCCTTGGAGCTTTAAAGGAACACAATCCAGAGTCCCTCTAAGAGTGAGATGGAAGTTCTTAAATATGACGGATAAATAAATAAACACAGATTAATTTTTTTTATCCTATGACCTCTTTACAGTTGCAAGTAGACAGAATAATTTTTTTCAGAGTAGTTTGATACTATGGTACTGTTTTGCAAGTGTTTAAAGAAAAGGTTTAAGACAAGTGTTGTTGCTTATGCTTTATTTTTAGGTATTTGTATTATTTTAATGCACTTGAGAATTACTAGGTAAAATCCACAAGTGCATATCTGCTGTTACGATGGCTTATGTCTGCATGGTGCACTGCGGCAGTGATTTTATATTCCCTCCAAATCTTCCCTCTGTATCAAAATCCTTTCATTATTATTTTTTCTGTAGACTAATTTTTTTAATCCTCTATTTTTTATATACTGTTGATGATTTAAGCAACTTCAGGCTCTTTGTGAAATAATGATGTGTCATCAGTGAAAGTATCTAATAACCATGTCTACTTTTGGTCTCCTTTTCAATTATCTTTGTTTTTTCAAGTATCAGGATCTTCTCTGATAACTCCTACCCTTGCATCATGTATCCAAAGTATTTAGCTTCATTGCTAGAGTTTGGGGAAAGCAATCTGGTTTCATCTGGTATTGAATAATTTGCTCTTTGCAGTTCAAGGTATTCCCAAAAATTTTTTTCTAGTGTCAATATTCAAAAGATCAATTTTTCTTCGTTCATTTTTTAATGATCCAGCTTTTACAGCCATGTGTTATATTTGGAAACCTATGGCTGCAACAGTATCTACTTTGATTGTCACTGTGAGGTTTCTGTTGTTTAGTACTGTATTTTGTGTAGATATGCCCAGGTAATATAAATCTGTTTCATGGTTAAAGTCATCTTCCCTGTGAATTTTTGAGTCTAGGAAGATAAAGATGCTTCAACTTTCCCTATTTGCATTGAATTAAGTCTATCTTCTGTCATCTATTTTTATTACTATCAGCATAGCATATCTGCATATCAGATGTTGTTGAATTTTGTCCCAGAGATTTAATTCCTATTCTTCTAGTCTAACATTTCTCATGATATGGTCTGCAAATAAGCTAATAAATAGACAATGTACAACCTAGACACGCTCCTTTTCCAATTTTGCCTTACTTGCTCTGTATCCTCTTCTAACTGTTGCTTCCTGATCATCATACTTCAATAGGCATAGAAAGTAGCCCAGTTCACAGTTTTCAAAGGCTGTCCATTTGTTGCGATCTACACAATCAAAAGCCTTAGTCTCATTGATAAGGCAAAAACAAGTGTCCTTCTGGAACTTCACTGTGTTTTCCTTATAAAGAGAGAGAACCAAATATTTGAACTCTATAATGTATACAAGATATTCATCAGTAGGGTTTTTGCTTATTCTAAAATCATCTATATTCATATTCATCAGTCACATGGGTGAAGCTAATTTGGAAAAATGAACCTAGCTGTGGATATCTAATGAAGTTCTTACCCTACAGTTTCTAACTGCTATCTTACCTGTATGTTTCATATTTTATCTTAATATCTGGACACATTTCCTTTTTTTCGCAGCATGGACACTACTTTTACATTCACTGCCAGCCCCTCTCAGCCACAGGTAAGTGATAATAATTATATATGGTAATGATAAATACCATCTTTTCAAAGTTTAATTAAAATCCAAGGTGTTAGAATGTTATTTTTGGCTATTTATTAAAATTGGATATATTTGCCCTATATTATAAATTGTAGGGCAGAATGGAGCCAAATTAAACAGCTATTAATAAAAAAGCCTCAACATTATAAAATCAATGCTTATACATAGATTAAAGCCTCCAGTAAGACACAAATGTTTGTATAAATAGCCAGATCTTCATACTGGAAGGAAGTCACTATTGCTGCCAACTGTACAATTTTATTCATTGGCACTGAAATGAAATTGCATTCATGCCAGCTGTACATAACTATATACAGTAATGGGCAGCTCTTAATGACAGGATGAAGAGAAGAGTCCAAGAAGGTACAAAAGCAGCTCTTCTTCATTTAAGTCAATATCTAGACTGTGTAGGACTTTGGCATTACTAACTACCTCTATATAATGGGCAGAGAGGCAAGTGTAAATTGATAAAATCTCTCTTCTGTCTTCTTGGATTCTTGCGTCCAAACTAGATAAATCTCCCCTGGAGGACATGGAATGCCTATATATAATGGCAACTCTGATACTCCAGTCTAGATGAATGCTATACTAGTATCTGGGTATCTGATGCTGGATGACATCAATGCTAACTCAACAAGGTCCTCTACAGTACTCAGGTGTGGATATTTAAGCCAGGGAAGAACAAGGTTCATTGGTTTGATCTTGCAGTATTAGTATTAGAAGCTGCATGAACCTGATAACAAAACTGAATAAATACGTTAAATCTCTTTAAGATCCAGGTTGTATTGGCAATCAGTCTCTGATCATTACATCAGTTGACGATAAAAGAGATGCTAGTGATGATTTCCCCAGGGATGAAGAAACCAACCTGGCATATATTATCCACATCTAATTTATCCTATTACCCTTGTTTGTAGAACAACAAAAACATTAAAATAGCAAAAAATATAATTTCAAAACAGCATTCTTTAATAAAGTGAATCAGAAATATAAGACATAATGGAAATGTGGTTTCAAACACTTTTTCTTTCTTTAAATGCTATTAGTTTTGGAAAGAAAGGTCCTTTCTGCATGATGTCTTGCTGTATCCAGTGCAGCTTCTGACCCACAATGTCCCACTGAAACATACAGGGAAAATCTAACAGTGGAAATCAGCAACAATATAAGTTTTCCAAATTTCCAGTACTGCAATTCCATAAAAATAAATAAACATCGATAAAATATGTAATAGCTAAATAAATAGGCAAAACTGTTGCGAATAGGAGATGGTTTTGACAGGTAGCTAGAGTCATTCAGCAGCGTAATTTAGTTTAGTTTACTTTTATTGTCATTGCACCTCGTACAACGAAATCAAACACCATCTTCAGGGCACATCATGACCATGACTATGAAAATAAACACAAGCACACATCCTTCACCCTTCACACATTGAACCGAAAATACCCAACACCACACCAACACTGCACTATACAGCAGAATTCAAAAGAGCTGCTGCCCTGGGATAGAAGCTGTTTTTCAGCCTATTTGTCCTTGTTTTTATTATTCTGTACCGTCTGCCAGATGGTAATAGTTCAAAAAAAGGGTTCCCAGGATGAGATGGATCTTTGAGAATGTTTTGAACTTTCTTAAGGCAGCGGGAGCTATAAAGCTCTTCCAAAGAGGGGAGAGGGCAACCAATGATCTTCTGGGCAATGACGTTAACCCTCTGGAGTGCTTTCCTATCTGCCACCGTGCAATTGGCAAACCATTACAGAGGTGCTGTATGTTAAAATGTTCTCTATGGTGTAGTGGTAGAAGGTCACCAGCAGTTTTTCATTCAGTTGTTGTTTCTGAGAAGTCTCAGGTAGCATAATCTCTGCTGGGCCCGTTTGACCAGGGCTGCAATGTGAGGTCTTCTTTTATGGTAACACCCAGAAACTTAAAACACTTCCTCCACTTGGTCTCCACTGATAAGCAAGGGCTGGATGTCTGATCTGTTCCTTCTATAATCCACTATAAGCTCCTTGGTCTTATTGGTGTTGAGGACCAAGTTTTTGTCTCCACACCACGAAAGCAACCGGTCCACCTCATCTCGGTAGGCAGACTCATCCCTCCTGGAGATAAGTCCCACCACTGTTGTATCATCAGACCCTCTCTGGGGGGAGACAAGTCAGTCTTTTGTAGGAGAGCAGGGATAGTCTGGTAACAAATGGTCAATAGATGGACATTAGGATCAGGACTAGGATAATCCAAATGGATGGAGTAGAAATCTACAAAATATACCAAAAAATTGGCAGAAACAGACATCATTTTTTTAACCAATGAAAACAATATGAAATATTTTTTTTAAGTGAAGCACCCCTGCAATCTACATACTATGTAGACTATCACCTACTAGAGAGTCTCAATAAAAAATATTTTAACATATCACCCTAATTTAAACTCTACTCTGTCTATATGTCTGATGAAGTGAGCAGCCTCTGTCTTTTAATAAAATTTTGTCAGTAAGAAAAGCTGCAACCAGATTCTTTCTGATTTTCACCAATGTGATGTGACTGAAAGATAAGTTGCATAGTAAACTGCATTTTTTCCTTCTGTTCAAGTCACTTGCGATTCTGCCTTGACTAGTCCCTGCTGTTTTTTTGGCAAGGTTTTTTTGGAAGTGGTTTCCCATTTTCTCCTTCCTAAGGGTGAGAGAAAGTGAGTAGCCCAAGGTCACCCTGTGGGCTTTGTGCCTAAGGCAGAATTAGAAAGAAATGGTAGGTTTAAGCCTTAAAACAGGAGATGTAAGGGCACAGATAACTAAGTAAAATGTCTCTTAGAGGAAGGCCATGTTGTGTGCCATGTAATCCCACAATGCAAGCCAAAAAAGCGAATTCCACTTGATAGTATAATCAATTACTCAGGCATAGAAGGACTTCCTTTGAGTGGTTCAGCAGAAGTAAAATTTGGATAGGCATCTGTCCATATTTTAATTTGAATTTCTGCACTGAGCATGGAGTTGAGCTTGAACTAAGTAATCAAATCATAGAATTGGAAGTGACTTTAAAAGTCAACTAGTGCAACCCTCTGCTTAGTACACTTTCAGGAAGAGCACTTTTGACAAACAACTATTTCACCTCTGAAGATCTCCAGCAGAAAAGAACTTTCCCCTATATATGGCATCCTCTTCTATTAGCTGGCAGCTGCTGTGATCAGGAAGTTCTTCCTCTGCCTGGCCTATACCAACTTCCTTGTAATATTACCCTATTGATTCTGGTCCTGCCCTTGAGGCAAGAGAGATAGCAATATTTGCTTACAATAGCAGTAGACGGCAATATTTGATGGGTGTGTTAGCCCTTCGAATATTTGCAAACTGGTGTCATTTCTCCTTCAGTTATTTCTTTTGAAGGTTAAATATAGGTAGACTTTTTAAACCATTCTTCAGAGGCAATGGTTTCCAAACCTTCAGTATATTGAGTGGTAATTATCAAATCAGAAAGCTTCTAGAGGCAATGCTGAAGGTGTATTTCCTTGACAATAAAAAACAGAGGAGCAGGGTTTGGCCTGGCAGGGGACACTTATGGGCTTCTTTGCCTTCATCCCCCATCTTAGTTTGTGCTTATCCTCTGCTCATTCAGTTTCCAGCAATATCTGGCCTCACTCGCCTGTTAAAAGTCTGCCGCATTGCCATCCCTTCAAGGAAAAGGGGAAACAATGCCTATTTTTTCCCCTTTGGTAAAATGAACTGATTTTTTCCAGAACCTCCTAATTACAGATAGTCCTCAGCATATAACCAGAACTGGGATCAGAATTTCCATCGCTAAGCAAGGTGGTTGTTAAGTGAGTCATGCCCAATTCTCTGGCCTTTTTTGCCACAATTGTTAAGCAAATCAGTGCAGTTAATATGGTCATTAAGTGAATCCATTGACTTTGCTGTGGGAAGCCTTCAAATAGTGATTACTAAATGTTTTTACGAACGGCCTGATGGGAATAGTAGGCTTTTAATTGTGAGTTATTTCCCCAACTAAATATTTTAAAAATGAGAATAGTAAAATCCAGTATGAAAATAAAAACCAATAAAATGAAAGTGGGCCATTTTGGGTCCTTAGAATGCCTTACAAGGCTGATTTGGTCCTTGGTTTTGTACCCCCAAAGATACCTTTTAATTGTACAGCAGTTAAAGTGAGGTGGGGAAGCTTTGATAACTGTGCCAGGACAGCACTGAGCATTATAAAAGTATGGTGGAAAACAGGAAGGCATTTCCTTAATTACCCCAAAGGTGCTTTTCAAAAGGCAAGTGACTTTGTTTTTCCTTGAAGATGTTTTGCTTCTTCAGTTCTGAAGTTCTTTAAATCTTTAAATATAAGGGGAGCCCCAGTTACCTGAGATAGTCATGCTGATGCCACCATGCATCTGTGCCTGACTTGCCCTGTTGTCAACCATGACCTGGATGACTGTGTTCTGGTTCGCCGGCAGCCTGTGCAGACGGCAGCGGAATCGGACAGTGGGGAAGAACGGGGATCAGTCTGGGAGTCTGGAGAGGATGCGGACGAGGGTCCTGCATCCGATGCAGAGATGGGGCCAGGACCATCTGGGAATGGGGTGCTGATTCCGGAGCCTTCAGAGTCTGGCAGCAGCAAGGCTGAGGAACAAGGGGAGCCTGTTCCCAGTGCACGTGTGCGCAGAGCTGCTAGAAGGCAAGAGCAGCTGAGACAAAAGGGGTGACTCAGGAGTAAGGCTTGGAGGTGATTGCCCCTCCCATAAGGTATAAAGGACAGGCAAAGGTAAATAAATCTTTGTAGGAAGCAATGTCATTTGTTCTGTTCGGATTAATCCTTGAAGCTCTGTGTGGACTTTGTACTTCGGTTGTTTTTTTTATAATTCATTTGGCACTCTAGCTGTTGGCAGCAATTCAAAGGAGAGAAAGGTGGGGATTGTTTGGGACTCATTACCGGCTGGGAATGAAAATAATTCCCAGTGTTAAAATAAAACAAGAGTTATTTTAACTAAGCGTGTGCTTAATTACGGTCTCAGGAAGCCTTGGTCAGAACAGACTGAGAATCTTCATAGACATTTCCTTCATTAAGTAAAAGCTTTGTCATCTCTTCCAAGCCATTAGAGATATAATAATTTTTATTTTATTCTTAATTTCCCTCTAGATTAAAGTTAAGCAATTATATATTCACAAACTGGAACTCTTCCAACCAGGCACTAACCAGCCCAAAGCTTGCTTTACTGTGGTGAAATTGTTGTATTGTGTGGATGTGAGAGCAGTTCCCTGAGTGGCTAGTAGCTGAAAAACTTGCTTCATTTAGCATCCTTCTCATACATAATATACATTTTCATAGGGTCTCTGGTGGCTGATAGTCACTCTGGAATTTGGGCTGCTATTGGTTGAGGGATTATTTATTGATCATATTTATGGGATTAATTTTTGGTTGGGGTTTGAGTTTAATGCTGATTAATTATGTGGGGATCCTTACTCCCATTTAAATAAACCCAGGTGGAGCTCTACTTTAAATATTACCACTCAACAGGGCAAGTCAGGTAGAGACTTAGAAGGCATGATGGCATCAGCATGACTATCCTGGATAAATGGGTCTCACTCATACTTAAAGATTATCTTTATAGCAGAAAGGATCATAAGCATATTTTCTCCCTTCATAGTACTTTTTGTACCAGTTCCCTCCTGATGTGGATTCTGTCATCGTCAGAGTGATTTCTAAGACAATCTATCCCTGCTCTGTGGTCTCCATCCAAGATATTGTGGTAAGTCCTGCTAGTTTATGATAGGCTACTTGAATATTGGCAGTGTTTGCCTTTGCTTATGGTACTATTGCTGCTCAATTGTAATATTTAATGTGAAGTGTGAATCAGATTTGGAGCATTCCTACATTCTGAGTCAAATTGGGCAGCTCAGACAGATCTGAGGTGCCTTCAAAGCAGGTAGATTCCAAGCCTGAATCCTCCCAAAGTTGTTTGTGTTCACTTAGGACACAGAGAGAAAAATAGTTTGCCTGAAAACTGATTAATTTCTTGACAACCTTTATCCAAAGAAGACAAATATCCAGTTCAGAGAAGAGGCATGCAGAGATAACCCTGAAAAAGGAATTCAAGGAAGGGTTACATTAACATCTGCTTAGCTATGAAAGAAAGGAGACCGTGAGAAAGAAGCTCAAGATTGTCCCACCTTGATTTTCTTGGGTATAAAGAGAAGGACAGAGAGAAACCCTTGTCGGGATTTCAAGATTGTGTTATTACACCTTGCAACAGAGTTCCAGTAGCCATTATAGAGGCTGTTTTCTGACTCGACTTTTCTCAGAGGACTGACAAATTGGCTGAGGAGGAAGGGAGGACATTGTTTTTGTTAGTGACATTACTAACTTCCAGTAATAATGAACAAGAACAGTGATGATAAAACAGTCTTGTTTTACTTTCAAAGTGTCTCACAAAGAAGAGGCAGGTGCTGTTTAGGAGGAAAAGCTGTTTCTGCCTTATTGAGAGTGAGAGCTGTACAAACGTGGGGTGGAAACACAGACTCTGCATGGCCCAAACTTGCACTGTCCCCCTTTTCCGTAAGGCAGAAATGATACTATCTTATTACAGTCATTCTTTCTGTGTAGAAAGTAATTTTTTCATTCCTCCCCTATTCATTCCTCCCCTATTCATTTCCTTCTTCCCTTCCCACGTTTGTTCCTTTTTCCCATTTCCCAGGTCAGATAACCCTTACCCTCACCCCCATCTCACCTTTTCTTTTCCCTGTTTCTGCTGCTTGGAGGGAGAGCAATGTTTGTGGATACATGCATATTTGTGTGAGTATGACATACATTAATGTTATGCAGAGAGTTCCTTGTGTAGGCTCAATGAGTTTGTTTGGGTGTGTGTGCACTCACAAGTGTAGAACTCCTTATCTTATTTGTTTGTTGTTTATTTATTGTTACTTGTTTATAGGGATGGTTGGCATTTCTGCAGGTGGTTTACCTGAATTTGGCAACCCTATGCTGAGAAAGTGGGAAACCTGCCCATTGCACAGGAGTTTTGTGTGTGTCATTTGTTTCTTCTCTAGTATTCATTTTGGGAGAAGGGTTCTTTGAAATTCAAGGTCATCTTCCATTTTGATAAAGGTGGTGTATAATAGTACCATGTGTGCTTTAATAATTCTTTCTTCTAGGCAGAAACATTTTTTTTAAATGGTATACAAATTAAGCAAGCTCAAAGTGGCTCCAACAGGGAGCAACCCCAATTGCTCTGTGGTGTAATGAAACATGGGAATAAAGTGAAAGTCTGGAACAGTTTGAATGGCTCTCTTCTGAACTGTGATCGAGAGAAGGAGAGAATCGGGAAGTCCTGCCAGGAATCAATTCCAATAATCAAATATACACAAGCAGAGGTAGCTCTCTAATCAGCTTTTTCATCTGTTGCAGTGTCCAGTTTATGATTTGGATTATAATGTGGAATTTAATGGAGTTTACCAATCAATGACAAAGCAGGCAGTCCTCACTGTGCAGGTGAGTGGATGGTGCTGTCTACTGCAGTCAATCTGCTTTTGTTGGAGGGGGCCAACTAAACCAATCTACAGTCAATAATGTGGATGGATAGAGACATTTTGGAAGGTAGAAGCTTGGCTGGGAACATCTGTCCATATTTAGGGAGAAAAGTGTGGGGAAGCTGGCAAGCATAATAGAGGACAGGCAATACTAGGCCAGGAGAAGTTGACTGCAGGCAGATGAGGAATGATTGAGTAATGTGGGAGAAGTCCAACAAAGGGAGGAAGAAGGAATCAAATGTAAGGAAAAACATATCAGAATATTGTACGTTTCCTTGAGTTTGAATACATCGATGCTATGCGCACACACAAAAACATACCTGCAAACAGTTGAGAAGTCTCAAGGAGTTAATTTTCATTAGGAGTACTAGTGAGAGCATGGTCACTAAACCAGAGATAGCCGATAATCTTGGGTCAAGAAGCATATTTGGAGTTTTGAGAAAATGTTGAGGGAAGCATCATGGCCCCCTAGACCCCTTTGGCAGCTCCAGAAGACACCAGGTGTTCCAATTTTTGAAAGCATAAATAGCCCTTTTCAGGATCATGATTTCCTTCTTTAGAAAAGAATTAGGGTCGAAATAGGTAACTTAAACCTCTTGGAAGCTCGAGACCCTCTTTTCTGTAATAAGATCTTAACTCCAATTGTATTTTAAATGTTTAGTTATACAGTAGTTTATTGTGGTCTTCTACTAGCATAAAGTAAAAATGTAGACATTATGAAATGAATAGCTACTGTATGTCTTGAAAACAGTCTGTGAAGATAGTGAATTAAAAGATAGCAATTAGTATTAAAAGATAAAGTTAAAAGATGGCAAAATAAAAGCTGCAAATGTTTATAAAATTAAGAACTACAAAAAAACCTCTAAACTAAAATGAAAATTTAATTAAAATTAACTGCTGAATAAAATATACTATAATTGCAAAAATATTTAAAGGAAAAAAATTCATTAAAATTCAGTTGTGCCGAGAAGCTATAGAACTGAATAACCAAGAAATAGCAGGATAATAATTACGACTGATTAGCTTAGCTGGCACTGACTACCTGGCAAATTTTACACACTATGCAATGCAAACATGGCAACATTACATTAAGAGAGAATTACACTCAGGGAGCACATACAATAAGTCAGTATGGCCTGGGAAAATACAGATGGTTGTGTAAAATGGGCAGGAAAGGAGGACAGGCTGGAAGGGACTTGGGAGGTCTTCTAGCCCAATGTAGCCCAAGGCAGAAGACTTCATTCCATGACATGGTTGGTGGCATCTTGACAGCACAGATGTTCTTGGAAGAAGATCTTTCTTTCATCTTCCATCTAACACAGCAAAAGAAAGGCATTGGTAGTGAGCCAGATCTTTCAATGGGTAGGAGCTGTGTAAGATATGCAGCTGTTGTTACTATATATATATTACGGTAAGAATCCTAACTGAAATAATGTTATTGATTTGCTTATGTTCAGTTATCAACAATCATAAGTGCAAAATACAATGAATATTGCATCTTTTTTTAAAAAAATGCATTAAATTACATTAAAAACCTGAAACAATGTGAAAGCGCACCAGCCATGACCATTGATAAGAATTTTGCAATCTTCTTAGGCTTCTTTCCATTTTGCATACATTATAGGCAATTTAAAGAAGGTACAGTATTGTTTGTCCAGGAAAGATAAATTTGTTAGGGTTAAGGTCACTTGATTTCATATGTCAACTCTGCAAAGAATATTTGTGACACATGATTTTTGTGCCATAATACATGGGCATAATAAATAATGGGCACATCTTGCATGTTTGTCACAGTAACACATTTGTGGACCTGCTTTTGCAATGTGCATAATAATATATGTTGATGTTGGTTTATCTGTACATATTGACAGGATTTTATTTTATTTTTTTAAATATAAGAAATCTTTCATTTTGTATTATAAGAACTAGCTTAGAAGTAGACTCTTTTTTTTACATCTTATGTTGTTTTAGACTCACTACTGGCCAAACATAGCTACTGCATGCTAAACCTTTGGAATTCTGAATAATTTCTACCTAATAATTTCCTACTGACTTCACAACAGTGAAAGAGCAGAATAATTGCTTTTATTTCAATACCTTCTAGAAGGATTAAAATTTGCTGTTTTTAAAGAAGACAAGTGGAGAATATGAAGATCAGGACTTATTTGGGAGATCAATGCCTCCTGTTCCTCCCCTCCCTTACTGCCCAATTATCTTTCCTAACTATAGTTGTCTAACAGCATTACAAATTATTGTGTTTTTGTATTGCACAGAAAAAGGACTTCCCAAGCAAACAGTTTTTTGTTGTATTTGTCATAAAGCCAGAGGACTATACCTGTGGCAGTTCAATACCACCCTCCATTCAAGGTAGGTGAGTTATGATCAAGAAGGCCAGAAGAATACTGTCTCTCAAAGTTTCTGTTTTGGATTGTAGTTATCCTAGACCTAGACTGTTATGGCAATCACAATGAGACATATATTTAATTTCCTTGAAAGAAGTCAAACTAGGTTCTGGGAAATGGAAGCAAGAGTTTCCAGATGGGCACCCTTCTATGAAGACACACTGACTGAAGTATGAAATACTGAGGCCACTCAAGCTGTCACTTTAAATGCAGTGTCTTCTGCTCTGACTACCTTTCATGCTGATCTGGTCATGTAAGACGGTGTTAGTCAAGATGCCTTCACAATATAAGGAGTCGTGGCTCAGTTTTTTATCTTTCTAATTCAGGAACAGAGCGTGACCTACACAAATCTCTATGGCAGTAATGGGGAACCTTTGGGCCTACTAAGGCGGCTTCCTCTTATTTAGGATAGAGGAAAGGCCATTTAGCTGGGAACTCTACCTTGAGATACTTAAATCTCAATTAGCAGCCTCTAAAGGCTTTCCTTCCAGAATAGGAAGTTCAATGCCACAAGCAAATGTATGTTCTCCCTCCACTTCACCGTCTCTCTCCCCTCTCCCCTCTTTCCATTCAAGAATTCTCAACTATTTTGATTTCTTTCTTTCTGGAAGCCATGGTCTAGTACAGTTCTCATGACCTGCAAACTTTTTGCATGATCAAATCATATGTATGTACATGCATGTATGTATTATGTTTCTCCTTTTCAGGAAAGACTAACTACACATGGAACCTTCAACGAATGAAGCATCTTGAAATGACAGTGTTACCTTCAGTTAAAGGTCTTGAAACATAATTCTGTATTTTCCTAAAGTTAACAAAAACCAATGAACCTCTACTATCATTACAGTTACAGTTTTATTAAAATAGTACAAAATAAGGCATAACATACTCAGGTGATATTATGAGTTTGCACACTTGCATGTGCTAACTGGTTGATTCTCTCATCCTTCAATTTGCTGTAATCCTATTTGGCACAGATTTTCATTCCAGTACAAATACTGGATTTTGAAGAAATGTTTTTTCTTAGAACCACAGAATAGAACAGATGTCTAAGTCTTGATTGCAAATTACCTTACAAATCTATCTTCCCAGTGGAGAGTAATGTTGAGGATTGCACATAGTAAGAGGAAGAAGTGAGCATTTACCATTTAAGCATGAAGTTGGAGGAGCGAACATGGTAGCAGAGGAGTGAGCTATAATTTCTTCACTTACTAATGGTATATGCTTGTGTCTTTTTCCTAGGCACTGTTTATATACATGCCATCCTTTTCAGTTTTCTGACCTTCTTCTCCTTCTATCTGGGTGCGCTAGTGGTTGGATTTGTGCAGTACATCAGGTACATAGACCATTTAGCACTGTTTAATAAAGCATGTTTCCATTTACTAAAGTGTTTAGGGCTGTGTGGTGGTATAACATATGATCAAGGCACAACACCTGCTTTGGATTATGAAAAATTACAATAGACTAATTAAGAAAGTCTTGTACTGTATGTAGATGAAAGGTTGTGATGACATTAGCACAATAACAATATCATTAATGTGACTGCTTTTATAATACAGTATAGAGACAAAATGGGTTTTCTGATGGTCCTTCTTCCATATCTACAAGCATTCAAATTGCTTAATGTCTGCCACAGAAATAATAAACTGTTTGTCTGGACCATACGTGGTACATCTTTGAATGTTAATTTCCTTCCAACAACGTGGTTCACCACAGTATTCATCTCTAGCCAAAAATGAATTACCATTAGACATAAAAGCACATTCAGTAATGTACCTTCATATTTATTGCATCTCCAGCATAGAAAAAGGGACAGCCAACAAGAAGAGTTCAATATGTCCCAAAGATTTGATTTGATTTGATTGAGTTTTTAAATAATAAAATATTTAATTTTGCATTTCTTAAAGCTTTGGTTTTCTTATATACATATACCAATTCTGTACTCCATACTACCTATATAGTATTGAAATTTATTTGAATACTAGTGTTTAATTTCCTTATAATACTGAATTGTTGGTTTAGTCTAGGTAAACACGTTGTTGGTCAAAACTTTGTCTAGTACAGAGAAAAATTCCACTTCAGTGCCAAATAAGGAACATAACAAATGACTCAATTGAGGATATTTTAATTTGGCAGTTTATTTTGGGGTACTTTTTTAAATGTTTGAAAATATTCTTACATTAATTAATTAAAAAGTCTTTAATTAGTTTAAAAACATTTTTCAAAAAATAAAAAATCCAAAGTCTTTTCCTGCATTTCTAAATAAACATTATTCCAATGAGTATATTTTGTATGATAATGAAAATCAGATTTTAATTTCTTACCTGGAAAGGCCCATACATGTCAAACTACATTAAATACTGGAAACATCATAAAAATTCTATTATAATTAGCTCTAAGAACATACAGGAACTTTAAAGATATTTAATAACATATCTTAACATGAGACCACAATGGAACATATTTAAGATGTATCCAGTAATTTCAATTCTAATGCAGTCTTGGTATGTCTTAAAATCAGGAAAAGTAAAATCACAATTTTCTTGTGAAGGATGTATTTTTGAAATCATCTTGAATATTTATTCTTTCCTTTTTAAGATTCAGTTAAGTTTTAAAAACTATTTAAATTGAACCAATGTAGGCATAACTCTCAAATGTGAATGTAGAAGCTATATCATTTTCACTACATTTACTCATCCCCCAAACTCAGGGTTAATTTCATCGATCTCTCTAGCTCAACTTTCGCCAGGGTGAAACTATTTGAAATATTCATGTCAATTAAGAAATATTTTATTGGGAATAAATTATTACATAATAAGCTATGTAAGAGAGTCAGCACTGAATTTAAAAAATATATTTTTGTCATTTTGTCATTATTATTTGTTATATATTCTGAATATTTACCATATTGTTGAAAAATCTCTACAAAATATGATACAGAATTTAAAAGACTCAAAATATTATCTGCATACATTCATACATTATCATATAGTGTTCCATTAGAATGTCATCACATTGATTTATTCAAAGTATCAGTGGTTCCAAAACCAAACTAAATATAGATGAACATAAATGGCATCCTTGACATGTATTCTTTTGCATTTCATAGCAAAAAATACTCCTATTCATAATCACCCGATGATCATTAGAATTAATATGTAACAAAAAATCATGTAACCAAAAAAACAACAACAGTTTATATGTTAGCAAAGGCTTTTTGCAATTACCTTTTTGTAAGATAATAAATCTAATAATCAAACAGTATCAGATGCTTGAAATCTTTTTATAAATCCAAATTATGCAGGATATGTTCTTGAACTTTTGTGCCAAAGTAGCTGTTGGTTTCTTAGCAGCAGTGTTTTACAATGAAAATGGTCAATAGTTTCACCCAATTCAAAATGATCTTGCCAATTTTTAAAATAACTATTATATAAAAGTTATAATTTTATGATAAATAGTTGCCTCTTACTATTTAGAGACATTGATGACATCTATATGTTTATATTTGTGCTTGATTTCAGATTTCATAGGAAAACATCAATAGGAGGACTTAATGGTGGTAATTATGCTAATATATTGTGTTGCTATTGTAGAGTTGGAAGACATGTCGTAAGTTATTAAGTTCAGTCTTCCAAGTGGACCTAAATGTCAAAATATGTTTTGTTAGGGGAACTGTTAGGCTCTGTACCATCATTGCTGTGAGTTGATGCCTTGAAGGAGCCAACTTCCTAGCGAAAGTGTAGATTAGTGACTATAGATATGAATGTTTATCTTTAAATTCAGTGATTTCCTAACTTTCATGCAGTTTCTGAAATAAAATCTGGAATCCTCATCAAATTGATTCTTTTTCCATCTTTTCTCTGTCTCATCATTAAGCCGTGTGGTTGTAAAGTGCAAAGTCACTGACTACATCACTTAGTGATGGCAATCCTGTCCATCCATGATCAGTTGTTAATCGAATCTCAGCCAGTCATTAAGTGAAGACCCCTCCTGTTCCAAGCTATTCTCATCCTCCTTCCAGAGATTCCATCTAATTTATCAAAATCCTTTGTTGAACTACTTAATTGGTTGCATGCCAATCAGGAGAACTCCCACCTGATGTTTATTCATCAGCTACAGTATATAGATACTACCCTGGATATTATTAAAATTTGTTATTTTTTCCAGACAACAAATCAGCAGAATTTTAACATAGAGGTCTATTCAAAACTCTACATGGTACAAAAATGTAGTGTATCCAGGGGATCTACAATATCACTACAACTGAAGTCTCTTCCATTTCATTCTATTTAGACTTAGATTCTGTTGATTTTCATCTCTGTCACTTCTGCTATGATGAGCCAACTTATATGAATTATTCAAGGCGGCCTTTTCCATTTCCTTGCCCAATCCAACTGTTTATCTGGAAAGCTGAGGAAGGTGTTTATTGACACTTTTTCACCAAAGAACAAGCAGCCTCAGCTATCAAGGGATTTTTGTAATCTCAATGGCCCTGACTTTTTCTTCATTTTTCTTTTTGAACTGAGATGTATAATTCTCCTTGGTATAGATGATAAATCTATGAAATTATATGAGCAAGAAAAGGGGATATTGTATTTTCATCCCTCTATCACCATTATTTTCTCATGTAATCTGTCTCAATCTATACCACATTGCTCAGTTTGTATCTGGGCATTTTATCCTTGCAGTAGACAAGCTTCTGCCTGAGCTATTCTTGGGTTTGAAGTGTGCACCTATGTTCTGTTGGCTGAAGATCCTCCTGAGCTTTTCTGATATTCCTGCAACATATGGAAGAGAACAATAAATGAAGCAACGTTGTCATTCCATATGTTGCAGGAATAGTGGAAAAGCTCAGGAAGATGTTCAGCCAACACAACATATGTCTACACTTCAAATCCAAGAATACACTAAGGCAGAAGCTTGTCCACCCCAAGGATTAAACACCCAGACACAAACTTAGCAATGTGGTATATGCAGTACAATGCTGTGAGCCATGTGCAGATCAGTACATTGGGGAAACAAAATAACCATAAATGCATGGCACAACATAGAAGAATAAACCCATAAGGACTACATTCAGCAGTCCATCTGCATTTAAAAAACAAAGGCCACTCTTTTGAAGACAGCAAAGCCCACATTTTGGACAGAGAGGACCACTGGCTTGAAAGAGGGATCAAAGAGTCATCTATGTCAAAATTGAACATCCCTCTCTCAACAAATACGACGTCATCTATCTCCAGTCCACAGCACAGTCCTTTCAACATTTCCAAGAAGGCTCCACACCCATTTGCACCATTTAGTTGACCCTGATGACACAAATAAACCTTCATGTGGCCTTAACGACTCGCTAAAAGAATGCAAATGACCAGCTGTGTACAAGGAATATAAATCCTTCTATTCCCCACCATTCAGTCAGAGTTGAAGAAGCTTCTTGGATGAGAAGCGAAACTTCTTCAAAGAAAAATTTAAAAAGTCCAGTTGCTTCATGGAAAAGCACCTTTGGGACTATCTCAGGGCGGTTGTATTACAGAATCTTGTGGCTCTGTGCTGTCCCAATTAACTCAGATGCTGTTATATATTTGTGTCTCTTAATGTTCCCTTTTACAAAATATTTATTTTGTTGACATTGCATATATTTTTTTGTATTTTTCCAGCAATTTTTGTATTACAATAACATTGAGCATGCTAACTTCCTCTCACATCGCTTTTTAATGAAAATATTATCCAATACACTTTGACTCTTGTGATTCCTTTCACATGTGTGTACACTTTTTGGGCTACTCCCTGCTAAAGAAGGTTAATAGTTGGAATTATAAAAGGCTATTGTAACAATTACACCTAAATAATGTATTTGAAAATCTTTAATTTTTGAAAACTTCATACATATATTATAATCATGCTATTAAATAGAAGTAATCAATTTTATAGACAACAGGAAATAATTTAGGTAATAAAGTAACTTTTAAGAAATAAATTTATTTCTTACAACACAGAAAACTATAAACATTTAATTCATAAGCTCTTTATAATGTGAAGCTTAAATAGAGTCATTAGGTGACTTATGCATTCTGATTTCCCCAAAGTGGGAATTTTGTTTTCTGCTGCCTGGGATAGGCCAAGATAATAGAAATGTGGCAATTAAGAAGGCTTCTCAGCCTGAATGGTCCATCCCTAAATCCTTGAGATAGCTCAAGGATTCTGCTCTGGACTTGGCCCTCCACCTTCCTTCTCAAGGATTCATTTTTTGAAATTTGCTATTATCAGAAAGTTGGGTTTTCATCATCTGATAGTAACAGAGGGCATAGTGCTTGGCAATGCCTAAAGCCAAATGGAAGGAGACATCTCTTCTCAATTCTAAATATTTGATTATCCTCTCTGTTGGGCATGTTGGACAGTTGAAAGTAAAAAGCCATTCCATGTTGGTTTACTTTGTAGGTCCTGGGACTATGACTTCTTCTCATCCTATCACTGCCAGCACCCCTGAAGGAAGCAGCTATGGAGCTATAGGTATAGTAATTCTTCAGTCTCAGAGATGTTTGCTATGTCTGTATCCATTATTTAGCTAGTAAAAATAGTGCATTTATGTCCATTGAGCTGTTGCTTGAAGTTGAGGATCAACTTGTCATTTTCAGTTTTGTTTCTCTTCTTTTCTGCTGTATTTTTATTGTAGTCCATTTCTATATCCCTTTCTGTCCAAATTTTTATGTTCCTTTTCTCACATACACATTTTTTAAAATACTATTTGTCTAATGTAGAGGGAGTCAGCTTTTGGTAGCTGGAAAGATAATTGTTAGTCTCAGAATCATGTAAAATAGGAAGAGCCATGGTACATGCTGTACAAGACAGAGTCAAGATTTACAGCAACAGTAGCTTGAATGATGTTACTTAGTTTGTAGGTAATAAAATGTCTGCATGAACACGACCAAGCTCAGAGAGTGCCACCAATCAAACAGTTCTATCATTATCTATTTGATTGGCTTTCTGACTGTCTATCTATCTTATTTATCATTTATCTATCTCTATCGATAGACACACACACACACATATATATATACATACACATAAACACACACACACAAGCACACACATATAAAGAGACAGAGACAGAGTAGCAATAGAGATATGCTGCAGCTGCCAAAAAAGTTAATGCTGTCCTAGATTGTATCAACAGACGAATGGTATCAAGATCACATGAAGTATCATGCATGCAAGGTATTAGCAGTATATACTGCACTGTTAAGGCCATACTTGGAATACCACATCCAGGTCTGGTCACCATGATACAGAAAAGATGTTGAGACTCTAGAAAGAGTGCAGAGAAGAGCAACATATAATGAACATTGTGCTGTTGCAGCAAGAGGGGGCTGGCGGCACAGGCGGGCTGAAGCAGCGATGGAGACGACTGGAAGGTGCAGGAGCACCGTGCTACTTGCATTTTCATAGCATTCCCACACCTTCTAGCTTGCCTCTCCTGGCCTGGGCTCTTCCTCGATGTCTGCGGGCTGTAGGGAGGGCCCGGGGGAGGAAAAGTACTGGCTGGTGATGGTGGGAGTAGGTGAGTGGGCAAGTCTGTGCTCACCATTCAGTTCAGAGGCCCAGAATGGGGCGTCATCAGTTTTCTTGTCCCTCTCGGTGCTCTGCTCTGACCTGGGCTTGCTGCTGGTGGGTGGGGTCCTCCTCAGGAGATGTCCTTGCCCCATGGGGAGAGCCCAGTACGCGCACGCTCTGGGGAGAGGCTTCGAGGCCTGGAGGGAGGGACCCTTCTCTGCTTGGAAGTGGCAGGAGAAACCTGGAGCTCAGCCTCGGGGAGTCCTCTTGTGTGGAGGACGAAGGTGGGGGTGTTGCCTGGTTATTAGGAGCCCGTCTTCCTTGGAGCTCTTTTGGTCTGGGCATCTGACACCACCCGCCCTTCACCAGTCCTGTGACTACTGCAGCTCTGGAATATGGGACCAACTTTCCCACCAACATTAACAAGCCACCGTTAGTCAAAATTCACATTAGTGGTCTGCGGGATTTGAAATTATGAGTTTGGTGGTCCCTGAGGTCCAAAAGGTTGGCGACCCCTGCTCCAAAGCACCTGAGTGTAAGTCAAGATGTAACAGATGGAAACTTATCACAGAGAAATTCCATCTAAGAACTCAACCTCAACAAGTTCTGTTCCTCTAAAATATACCTCAGATTTCTTTGATTTTCTTTCTCTTTTCTGACAAGAGCTGTTTCGTCACCTTTCCTCAACAATTCTTGCCTATTTTGGGCTGTCATCACTGCTTCTGGTTGGCAATATCTTCTCAAAAGCAGAAAAATGCCTTTCACTAGGCGAACATATCTCTGCAGACTTTGCCCATTTCCCCTTCTCTTTTCTTATATGGAAGGAATACTTCAACACCATGGATGTTTCAACCCATGGTTAGAAGGAAAATTCATCCCTGCCTGCTTTCTGTGTGGGGTGACAAAGCAACACATGGTATTATGTGCTACAACTGACCCTTGGCATTTGCCTTACTGGAATTAAAAATTTTCCTAGTTGAAATTTATCTCCAAAATATAAATTGAGCGAGTAAACTAGTTGTTAAAAGCACTACTACTTATGGAGGGGGGGTAGTTCTCATACAAATTATTATTTCTGAGCAAAGGGATGTAGCAGAAAATGAAGACATTGGCAGAATTCATACCCATGTAGGAAACAGAAATGAAGATGAAAGTGAAAATTATGAAGATATGAACTGACGGGGACACTAAAGACATTGGAGAGACATGATGCTCCTTACCTGCTTGAATTTGTTGTTGTTTGGCAGTATAAAAAAACCAATATTCATTGTTCAAACCTTATGAGAAAGACTTTCAACATTACTATAAGGTGGTGTACTGACTCACATAAAAATGAACAAAACAACCAACTTTTGTACCACAATTTTCATTTTCAGATGAATCAAACTCCAGTGGAGGTCAAGAATTATCAACTCTAGATCGCCGGCCTCCTTGTGGCAGTGATACAGATAGCTCAGTTGAAGAGGAGAGTGATTTTGACACTATGCCTGAAATTGAAAGCAACAAGAATGTAATCCGCACTAAGGTCTCTCTTGCAAATGGCTTTTGCATTTTTATAAGAATTTTTTTAACATATCCTTTCTCTACATCATTGCAGTTATATTTGAAATGCAACAAACTAAGATCTAATAACAAGGGCCTTCAAACTTGGCAAGTTTAAGACTTGTGGACTTCAACTTCCAGAATGCCTGAGCTAACATGACTGGAGGAGGAATTCTGGAGTTGAAGTCCACAAGTCTTAAAGCTGTCAAGTTTGAAGACCCCTGATCTAAAGCTTTGCCTTGAGAACATATTTACATGTTATTGTCAGCTTCTTCTCCATGTTCAAAGAATAAAATATTCTGAAAAATGATGGATTGTAAATATTTAGCTCAGATGTATGTGAGGAAGCAGTGCAATCCTGACTTTTATAGAACAGGCTATTCTCTACTGAGGAAATTTGCCCAGAAATTAACCCACTTTTAATCAAAACATAAAGACACCAAAACATATCATTTTTAATCAGAGTGTTTCTGCAAAGATTTGTTGATAAAACGCTTCTTAGCTATAAATGTCTGGCCCCCAAAGAAGGTTTAATTAATCAGGTTCTCATTTGTTATTTATAATTAGAATTGAATAGTATTGCTTATTTTATTTCCTTGTATTTATCATATTTATCATATTTTTTAATCCCACCTTTATTATTCTATAAATAACTCAAGGCAGCTAATATACCTAATAATCCTTCATCCTTCTATCAAAGTCATCCATTCAGCTTTCCTGCCTAAGGCAGGATTAGAACTCACAGTCCACTGGTTTTTAGGCCAGCACCTTAACCAGTACACCAAATTGGCCCTATATTTTCACATTTTATTATTAATTGCTCCCAAAATCTAATTTTACAGTGTTATAACCTAAATAAATACATCATAACTATAGTTTTGGGATATAAGCTACTAGTTCAGGTAGTTGTGTTTTATGCAAACAGTAGCATAGGACAGCAGGTACAAGGTTTATGTGAATTCTTGCTGTTTTGAGTATAAATGAAATTAAAAACAATACAAATTCCTTCTCATACCACCACTGGCTGGTTGTACTCTCCACACTCTTTTTAGTGACCTGTGATCATGAAACAGCACAAGAAGTTTCAGAATCTCCAATCTCTCTCTCTCTCTCTCTCTCCCCCCCCCCTCTCTCCCCCTCTCTTTCTTCTTCCCATCCTTCCAGCATCATCTTTGTCAGGCAGATTTTAGTCCAACTTAATGGTTGTGACTGTGAACCACTCTGTTTAATCACAAACTGTGTGATTCAATCTTTTCTGTCAAAATATTTACTGTCAAGAGCTGGAGTGAAATAAATCTTTTCTTAATTTATATTGTGCAGAGTTTTTGAATATGGTTCTGGTCACACTGGTAATACAGTATGTTAAAATTCAGGAGATTGTTCTCAGATGCCTTACTTTAAGGGAATAAATTTGGTTTCATGTGCTTGCCTTGACAGGTTTGAATGACATTCCTGAGCTGAAAAGCTAGATTGTATTTTAATCCTTTTAATCTTTTTAAAGACTATGAAGAGCTTGTCCTCTTTCTTTTTAGATGTTCCTTTATCTGTCAGACCTATCCAGAAAGGATCGGAGAATTGTCAGCAAAAAGTATAAAATTTATTTCTGGTAAGTTACTAACAAGTTAATGGAACTCATTGAACTCATTTTTCTCTCTTCTTCTCATAACTTAAACAGAATCCTTTCAGGAATTTTTCTTTGTGAAATAAGAGTCTCATACTGGTTAAATATGGGTTTCCCAGGGCCACATTGGAGAATTTTGCCTTGATGAACCTAGAAGAGAAGTAGATTTCATTGTTTAATTGTTTCTGGGGTGAGTACCCAGAATGGGCAGATTTTATACTGAGTAACAGGGACATGAGCCTAAGAGGCAATGACCACAGCACTCTGCATAGTAACCAGAAATGTAGTGGCAGCCAATGCAGCACCTCAATATGAATGTTAGCCCTTTAGGCCTGGTCAGGAATGATTGGAATGCTATTTTATTGATTTAGGCCAATGTTTCTTTTTCTTTTTTTAATAAAAGTCTTATTTAAGTTTTCACAAAACATACAAATACAAATAAAATATCTTTTTTTGAGAATAGTGTGGCCCCGGGTCACTTCTCCATACAGACATAAACTCGATACATATTTATCTTATACATTCTAATCCATATCTTATAACTATTTTCACAATTTTTTCAATAGCTTTTCCCTTTCTTTACTTCCTATAGCCTTATTTTAAATTATCTTATTTATTATTTAAATTATTACCTTTCTTAATTAAATTACATATCTTTTTCTATTTTTTAAAATCTTTCTAATCAATGTTTTTATACTTTCGTCTGTCCTGTTTAAAATTTCATATTATCTTTTCTCATAAAGCAAATTTTCCCCTGTAATTACTAGACTGGAGTATAACACCTTTGTATCTTTTTTGAAATCTTATTTAAAAATTTAAGTTACATCTTTACAGTTATAACATTCATTTTCTAACCTCTATTTTATATCACATACCTATTTTCAATCGAATTCTGCTTGGTACATTCCCTTAAAATACACACTAAATTCTTAAAAGAAAAAAGTATGCATGTATGTATGGTATTCAGCTTTGTTCAGGTATTTTCCCACGATATGGAAGTTGTGCTTTTAAAGTTGTAGCGACATTTCGGCAGAATCTCATCTGCCATCATCAGGCTTGTGTATTGTGTTCATCTGTGAGTCAGGCTTTCACAGCCGTTTCTGTTTTAAATTTGGTGCTAGCCTACTGCTGTGTTAGAATGGTTTTTTCTTCATCCTGATTGGTTGGGAGTCTTGGTCTGTGTTTATTGGTCTTGGAGTTTGCTGTGTTCTGCTTGATTGGTGTTTCTAATATCTTCTGTCTGTTTTGTAGCATTTTTTGATTGGCTGGCAACATTGTGTTTCCTGTATTGGAGGCTTTTAGTGCGGCTTGGCTTCGGGTAAAAGGACGGCTATCATTTATTAGAAAGCTAGGTTTCATCTGGATGCCTGGTTGGGGTGTGTTTGAGCTGGAGGTATCAGGTGGGGTCTGTTTGTGACCAGGTGTTTGCTTGGCTTGTGGTGTGGAGATATATCTTTTACATTTCTATTTCTTTTAACAAACATTACCTAGTAATATCAGTTGTCTTTCACTTTAATCATCTATATTTCATATTTTACTTATTACTGTCTTTAAATAAAAAACCAAACAATAGTTATTAACAGTAGTCAATAAAGTTATTATTCTTATTCAAGTTTATCTTGTCAACTGATAAAAATCTTCCATGTTTCTTTTCAGTTTTTTTAAATGTTTTTTTTAAATCATTGAGAGCCTTATTCTCTTTACAAACAAATATTCCACTACACATCAATAGAAATTTTTTCTATCACTTTAATCATCTAACATATTTTCTAACCCTTTCCGATTTCTAATATAACAATGCTATCCCATGCACCCTTGCAGAATCCTCTCAAGTTAAATTTTAACCATTGTCTCTGTGTCTTTTAAATAGGTTTATACCTTTAATTCTTGTACGTTTTTCCTGTACCTCTATATCTTGTTTCTATCTTTTGTAGCTTCTTTTCCTTTTCCTCTTCCCTCTCTTCTTCTCCCTCCTTTTTTTATTCCCTTTTATATTTGATTCTCCCTTCTGTGATCCTCCCTTCTGCTTCTTCTTGATATTATGATTACTTTTCAAATTACTCTTTTTTTTGGTTGTTGCTTCAGTGCTTAAGTTTTTAACTCCCTTTCCCCCCTTTCCCTTTTTTACCCCACTTAAAATTGCTTGGTCATTAAAGATGGCTTCTTCATTGTCCTGCCCTTCTTGTTCTGCCAGCATTTCTTGTTGTTTTTCATAGTTCAAGATCTCCATTTCTAAAAATTGAAATACGAAGCCAAAATATCCTTTTCCGTCTTGTGCTTCTTCTTTTTGTTCTTTAAGTCTCATTTTTAACTCTTGAAGGAGTGATGTCATTTTAAAAAAATTTAAACAACCCCCAATTGATTTTATTTTATTTCATTAGGATCCTCCATCCAAAGTTCCAGGAATCATCCAATAATCCCAAACTGTTTCTTGCTTCTTTTCTCACTTTCTCTTTCCAGGGGCTTTGTTATCTTGTAACAAAGTTTCAGCTACAATGTATCTTTTGGAAGCCTTGTTAAAATTCCACTATCAATTTTTTTTAAAGTTCCAGGTGGTCTCCTCCATTTTCCAGATTCCACCTTCTTTTTTCCTTTTTCCCTCCGCTGCTTTCTTTCTTTTTTTAAAGAAAATTTTTAAATTATCCAAGAATCTTTATCCCTTTGACACTTTATTTTCAGCTAGAAATAGCCTATTAATGTCAAAGTGGATTAGTATCAATTTCTTATTCGAATCTCTTCTTCTTAACGTTCCAAGTCAATTAAAACTGTCAATGTGAGAGGAAAAAAAGCCAATTCCGTTTCCTTTCCCTTTCTCTTTCGCTGCTTAAAATCTTTTTTAGGAATAGTATTAGTCTTTAGAATTCAGGTTCCAGGTACCCTAAATAGATGTTGTCCATTCAACCCGGTCAGTCAAACTTTCTCCTTTAAACTTCCTCCTGCACAATCTTGTCCGGTCGGGTTCTTCTTTGAGGTGGCCATTTCTGGCCACCGCTGCAACTGCCTTTGGGAAAGGGAGTAATGGCCAGCCGAGGAGGAGAGCTGCGGCTCTCCTCAACCCCGCTGATGGCTCCCCCTTCTTCACCACCTGTACGAGGTGGCTTTAGCCCCAAATCCAGGCGGCTCGGGGCGCTTCAGCGGCGAGCACGGATCAAAACTGCGGACAATCGCGATTATGGTTCATCACCGAAGAAGCCCAAACCGGAAGTCCCCCAGGCCAATGTTTCTTAAATTGTAGCTCAAGGACCCCTGAGCGTCCCACAAGACATCTTAGAGATCTATGAAATCAAATTATTTGCCAGATATTAAAGATGTTAGCAAAAATTGAAAAAGACACACTTCTCATCATTATTTTTTTATTTGTTAAATAGTATCAAGAAATATAACCCATGCAAAGACAACTTCTTTTGGGGTCCTCCATCATTTTTAAAGTGGAAAGAAATCCTGTGAGGAAAAAGGTTAAGAAACGTTGATATAGGCTATAGTAACAGAGATTTTCTCTTTGTTGCCTTCTCCCCAGAGAATTAATGCAGAGACACTCTGGGTTTCTAATGTTTTCTTCATTTCCTAGGCTTAAAAACATGTTTTGCTAACTGATAACTGCACAGTTTTTCCATGGTTGTTTCTGTGGCTCTCAGTATGTGCCACTTTGCTGAATTGATCCAAGCAGATAAGTGCATTTTGAATAGTCCAAATAGTTTTTAGAAGTAGATCCAAATAAAGTAAAATTTTCTAGTGTGGTCTCCAAGTGTAGAAAAGCCCTGTTTGTTTCCTATTCAAATACTAATTAGGTCTGACCCTGCTTAGTTTTTCGAGAATCACTGCAATTAACAATAGGAATAGAAGAAATAATTATTATTGTCATTGCTTCTGACACTTATATATACATACAGGCATGTATTTCACATAAGCATTTATTTGGGCCAGTTTGGCTTTGGTTGGAATTTTAACTTTAGGTTAACAGCTTTAGAAATGTGGGGTTTTTTTTTATGTCTCTATCTTTTTCTCCACCCTTTTCCTATTGCTGAGGGGGGTTATCATAAATTCTGGATCACCTTGGCATTTATAGTCATGTTAACTCTATGTTTGGTTTAAGCAATTAATTTTTGCTTTCTTTACTCCAATGAGACCATTTATTAAAGTTCAGTGGAAACACACACATTAATTTAAATACAATGCTTTGTTTTCTGTAGGAACATCATCACAATTGCTGTTTTCTATGCTTTACCTGTGGTCCAGTTGGTGATCACATACCAAACGGTGAGTTCCTGTGCCTTCTGAGCACAGACTAAGTTTCCAGGTTAATATCTTTTCCTACTTTTTACCCCCAGCTCTATTGCTTTGCAAACTGTTTTTAAGTTCAGTTCCAATTATTTACGTTTTGGCTTTTATAGCGATGCCATGTACTGCTGAGAGCAGGAATCTCACTCTTAGACAAACTACACTGAAAGGATATAACAAACCGCATTTTCAACATTTCATCCAGGCCTGCATGAGAATGCCTATTACCTCAAGAGCATTATATTTTAGTCTGTTTACTTTAGTGATTAGTAAAACCTGTGTTTTATTTGACTTCTTACAGAAATGAAGTATCGAAATAAAATGAGTTGAAAGCTACAATATTATTGATAGTCAAATCTGCAATGCTCCTTTCTCCTTTATTAATCTGGGTTTAATGTAAAAGATACTCAACAAAGTTAAACAACTATCATCAAATTTCTTGGTAACCAATTTTTGCTTGGTCCCTAACACTCAAAAAAATCCTAGCAGAAGGCCCTATTATGGAGAGTTTCTGCTTCTTATTTATTGTTACGGTGGTCACATCCAGCCATATGATTCTAGAAGAGGCTGATTATACCCTATCTGTGGTGGAATTTGATTTTGAGTTGAGGGGAGGAGGCTGAGTAGCCAGAGTCCCTTGTGAGGAGGAAGAGATTGAAGGGTGACCCTCTCTAAAACTTCACAGTATTTATTTAGTGGTTGTACAGTAGATGCTTTAGTCTGGCAAGATCCCTATCTATAGGCAAACAACAATAAACATACTGTGAACATCTCATCATGTCATTTCTGGTTGTTTGCACCTAACCCAAGCCTTCCATATGATCTCCTTGCTTTGGCCACTGGAATTGGAAAATAACCACAAAAAGTGGCTATGCTTGGCTTCCTCCAACTCTGACTTCCAATTTCTCCCAGCAAATTATTTCTGTCTTTGTTTGCCTTTTCAAGCTTTCTAATTGAAGTCCGAAGGAGACATAAAAGGAGGGAGGAGAGGGGAAATAAACTATGCATCTCCTTGTCTTGATGGTAAGGACATGGAGTAGTGGAGAGCATTGTAGCTTCAAATGAATATTCCCTATATTTAGACAATAGGAAGAGAAATGAATGGAACTACCGTATTTATCGGCGTATAACACGCACTTTTTTCCCCCTGAAAATAGGGGGCAAATGATGTATGCGTGTTATACGCCGATATAATGTTAAGAAGCCAGCGGAGGCCGGGCGGTGCGAGCAGAGGGCAAGCGGAGGCCGGGCGGTGCGAGCGGAGGGCAAGCGGAGGCCGGGCGGTGCGAGCGGAGGCCGGGCGGTGCGAGCGGAGGGCAAGTGGAGGCCGGGCGGTGCGAGCGGAGGCCGGGCGGTGCGAGCGGAGGGCAAGCGGAGGCCGGGCGGTGCGAGCAGAGGCCAGGCGGTGCGAGCGGAGGCCGCTGAGTGCCTCGTTTCCTTGGGAGCTGGGAGAAGGAGGCCCGCCTACATCGGCCTGAAGGCTGGCTGCTCCTTTTGGCTTCACGGGATTCGTTTCCACGGTGCACAAAAGTGCCTCAAAAAAAAAAAGTGCAAAAGTGGAAGGTGTGCGGAAGAGGGGGTAGTCTTATACGGCGAGTATATAACAAACTCTATATTTTGAGTGGAAATGTTGGGGGGTCGTCTTATACGCCCAGTCGTCTTATACGCCGGCAAATACGGTATTACTGTATGTGCTGAAAATATTCTAAAATTATTTCTATAATATATATATATATTTAACAAAGTGCTAGTGTATTACATAGATGTTGTGCAGCAGTGTGCACAGATTTAAAGGAGACCAGAATGGCAAAATAAATCTGCTGGGGGGGGGGGGGCAAAGAAATACTGACGTTTGGGAAATGCCTCACTACTTATGATTGGCGTTGTACAGAATGTAAATTTACACCCCCCTGATACTACGGTACCTTACTCTTTTTTTAAATTTAAACTTAGGTAAAAAGTATACCACTGCAGTGTGACTACTGGTATCCCTAATGGATTTAAAACAAAAGCGTGGAGCATATACAGCTGCTTTCAAGTTGAAGGTTGTGGAATATGCCAAACAACACGGAAATAGGGCTGCAGCAAGGCATTTTGGAGAGCCACCAACAGAATGCACAATACGAGAGTGGCGAAAAATGGAAGAAAAACTCAAGACATTATCAAAAACAAAATGCAATTTTCGCAGCGGTATTGTTAAATGGCCAAAATTAGAAGAACAGGGGAAGGAATTTGTAGTAAATCATAGAAAAGCTGGTATTGCTTTATCAACAAAAATGATCATTATTCAAGCAGTGAAAATCAGCAAAGAGTTGCAAATACATGATTTCAAAGGAACAGCATCATGGTGCCAAAGATTCATGAAGAGGCATGAGCTTCGGATGCGAACAAGAACCAGGATTGCCCAGCGTATGCCGGATGATTATGAAGAGAAGATAATAAATTTTCATAAGTTTATTATCAAACAAAGGAAAAGAAAAATTTTTGAAATTGGTCAAATAGGCAACATGGATGAAGTACCACTCACCTTCGATGTTCCTTCAAACAAAACTGTGGAAGCAAGAGGTGCCAAGACAGTAACAATTAAAACTTCAGGGCATGAAAAAAATCATTATACCGTGGTCCTTGCTGTCACTGCAGATGGAAACAAGCTGCCACCATTGGTCATTTTTAAAAGGAAAACTTTGCCTAAAGAGAAAATTCCAAGTGGCATACAGGTGCATGTTCATCCCAAAGGTTGGATGGATGAAGAAGGCATGAAGCTTTGGATTAGAAATGTGTGGGTGAAGCGCCCAGGTGCTTTGTTAAAGAAGCCATCCTTGTTAGTACTGGACTCATTCAGATCTCATCTTACAGAACCAACAAAGAGAGAATTTAAAAAATGCAAAACAGAAATAGCTGTCATTCCAGGAGGACTTACATCACAATTGCAGCCATTGGATGTTAGCATTAACAAGCCCTTCAAAGCCGTAATGCGTGAAGAATGGAATAAATACATGTGTGATGAAAACCAACATGAAATGACGAATTCTGGGCGAATGAAAAGACCTGGCATTTCAAAAGTTTGTCAGTGGATAAAGACTTCGTGGGACTCAGTTAAAGAAGATATTGTTATCAAATCTTTTAAGAAATGTGGCATAAGTAATGCTTTGGATGGTGAAGAAGATGAGCTGATTTATGAAGATAGTAGCAGTGAAAGCAGCAGTGTTCATTGCGATTTTGAAGATAGCAGTGAAGATGAAGAGTTTCTTGGTTTCCCAGATAGTGATTTCTGAGTAAACTTTTGTAAAAACAAAATATCCAAGTTTCTTTTGTTAAAACAGTTGCTTTTACTGTCCTTTTGCATTATTTACCTTATAAGTGGTAATAATATTAATAAAAAAAAAGTTCTGAGCTACCCTTATTTTGCTTCAAAGTTTTTATTTAGAAATTTAAATTTTTTTCCTGAAATTTCCCTCTTAAAATGAAGATGCGTGTTATACGCCTGTGCGTGTTATACGCCGATAAATACGGTAATTCCCCAATTAAGACCTATAATGCCTGCTACATATTTATGTTTCTTCATGAAAAAATAGAATGCATGTGCATAGGAAATGGAAATGCATTGCTGTGGTGGAAAAACTAAGATGGCACAGAAATAACACTTGTCAACAAAGATTTTGCTTCCTGAAGTCTTTGGAGTGTATCTTACAGATTTTTGGCTGCTAATTGTGAAAATAATCTGTAATTTAATCTATCACATACTGTTCTACAGAAATCTTGTTTTTACACAACGGCAATTTACACCCTTCAGTACCTGTTGGCTATGCTGCACACATGAAAGAAACATACCAAACCATGGAACTGTTGTTAAAGTACATCCAGTACACCAAATATAACTGGAATATCTGTGGGGATCTAAAAGTAGTGGCTCTGCTGCTTGGTATGAAGCTCAGATATACCAAATATTGCTTGGCTGTTGATTGTCTTAGCTGAGATGTGCAATAAATATAAGTAAAACTTTATGCCGAGTTGTTATTTCCCCCCCCTTCCACTTTTTAGGTGGTGAATATAACTGGAAATCAGGACATCTGCTATTATAACTTCCTTTGTGCTCATCCACTGGGAGTCCTGAGGTGTGCATGAAGATCATTCCTAATTTGGGGCTTGGGTTTTAATTTGAGTTTCTTGTTGTGTAATTGGGAAATGGGGATGGACATTTTCTGTGGGGTAAGTGGTTTGCAATGAATATAATTTTTTGCATGAAGTTTAATGTTTATAGACGTGTAGAATATAAGGATTGGAATGCATCTCTAGTCCAACTTTCTGTTCACTCCTGAATCCATTACTATAGCAGTATTGATTGAAGACTAATAACATCATTTAATAAAAACAGAATAAAATCCTGTAAAAGAAATACTGACAAAACCAAAAGCCAAACAAAAGGAAGCTCCGACTTTACTATTTTTAACTTGAATTGAAGGAATTTGACACACACATATAGAGGCAAGTTACATGCACATTTAGTGGGTGGGGGCAAAATTTCCAGGTCTGATAGTAGTGGCTTGGGTTTTAATTTGAGTTTTTTGTTGTGTAATTGGGAAATGGGGTTGTGGCAAGTGTAGTCCTGGATTCCATTCCCCCAAGGCACCCCCAATAGTAATTTTTTGGGGAAATACTGTAAATTGGAATAACTATATACAACTATATTTCTTCCCCAGTTCTTGATTATGAAAAACATTTCAGATGGCTGCACCTGGGTTTGCAGTTCTGGGGCCTGGGGTGTCAGATTATTTCATTTTCCTCACTTTTTCTCACAGTGTTAGCCAAGCAAAGCCAGTGTTATCACTGCTGGCTCCATAGCCTTGCAAAAGACAGCTTTGCACATGGGATTAGGATGACCCTTGAAATAAACAGAAAAAAATACTATTTTACATAGTTGCATTCCCTTACAATTACTTTATATGCTCAATTCCAGACATTATATGGCTTTTTTACTTTTCCGCAGTGCTTTCAACAACATCCTCAGTAACATTGGCCACATGCTGCTAGGTATCCTTTTCCTGTTGATTGTATTATATAGAGACCTTCTTCATCGTCGCTCCTTGGAAATGAAAGATATCTGTGCAATGGTATACTCCCTACTTTCTTGCTGGGTAAAGGTGGCCTCGTGGACACTGGCATAAAGTGCCTCTGTTTTTCTGGTTCTCACAATGCCAGTGAAGCCAAGGATTTTGCTACAGGAAAGGATCCTTTCTGTTATTTTTCCTTCATAGAGCTATGCCTTTGGGCAGATTGCAATCTCATGGTTATTTTACAAAGACTTTGTTTTAATAACCAGGCAGTTGAATTAAAAAGACCTGGCATTTGTGTTGGGGAAGGTGTTTAATTTTCCTCTAGGAGCATCTTGCTCAAAATTATTTTCCCTAAGTTCTTTTCTCTCAGTGAGAGGAGATCTCTGAGTTTCACTTGCCTTCAAACTAGAAAGTTTCTGTGGGGAAAAGGCTGAGCATTGAGAGCAACTAGTGAGAAGTTTGAGGCGGCCAAGACTGAGTTGCAAAGAAACCCCAGACAGGAAAGAGAGGCTGAATATGGGTGAGGAGGGGGTGACTTTAGAGAGGTGGGAGGGAGGGGGAGCATGGGCAAAATCAAGAAAATTTTTTACAAAAACACATCAAACAGTAAATTTATTTTAAGAAGGCAATTCACCTTTCATATTTTTCACATGGAAGTAAAAGACCACATCAAGTGGTACTGTTTGTATGGTAAAGTGTGGTCTACTTTCTTCAGTTAGTTATTTGATAATAATTTTAGTTGCTGTTAATTGGGTGTTAATTGTTTTATCTGTTCATTTAATTACTTGTTCTGAATGAAAAAAATAAGTTATAAAATAGTGCTTGGTTCTTCCTGTCTTTTCTTACCTTTAAGGAATATGGGATCCCTAAGCATTTTGGCCTCTTCTATGCCATGGGTGTTGCTCTAATGATGGAAGGTGTCCTCAGTGCTTGCTACCACGTTTGTCCAAATTACACTAATTTCCAGTTTGGTAAGTGGAGGGGGCTTTTTCCAGTCAAGACCTGTCAAAGCCTTCTGGCCTTTTGAGCAGGTTGGGTTTAGTGGCATCTCAAGATTTTAGAAAAAGAAAAGCAAAACAGTTAAGCAAACAGGAATCAGTTTCTAATGTTTCATCAGTGTATTAGGTTTGCATGCTATTAGCCTAAAAAAAACAGCTTTTTTGTTTTCTTTCTGAAAACTAGAATTACAAGAGATGTTCAGTTGACATAACAATGTTGAATAAGTGGCTTCATTCACAGAACGGACTGTAACACAATCAAACCTTCTCCATTTTAGATGTATATATTGTGCAAACGCAGCTTATGTATGTCATTTTCTTTTGGAGGAGGGGAGGAGTGGGGTCTTGCCTTATACCGGTAATCCTCTACTTACAACCATAATGGAGTCCGGAATTCCATCATAAATCATGATGGTCATAAGTAAAGGCACCCGTGTGACCAGACCTGATTTTACATTTTTTAATGGAGATCTTTAAGCAAGTATCTCAGTCATTAAGTAAATGTGTTCATAAGAGAACACTGTGGTTATTAAGTGAACCAGTGGATTCCTATGGATGCTTTTTGCCAGAAACCAAACAAAGAGGCCAAAAAACAGCAAACAACTGTTGTAAGTCATGAATGCTGCAACTGGCAATAAAGGTGAGCTGGTTGCTCAGCACCCAAATGCTTAGCATATGATATGTGTATATGTTGTGTGTGTACATGCATGTACATGCGTGCAGCCATCAGAACTCCAGCAACAGGTCAGGTTTTGATGGGTCTGGTTGTTAAGCAAGGACTATCTGTATTTTAAAATTGCTGTCTGTCCTCTTGATTTTAACAAACTAATTGAGTAAGATGCATAAAATTGTGCTGTTACCAATTCTAAAAAACAATTATAAATATACAAAAACAAAATGTGTTTTTATACAGTAACCAGTTTTTTACTACAACTAAGAGGTTCCTCTGCTGGCTATTGGTTTGAAAAATTAGTTCCTCATACCTTTAGTCACTAGTTCCTACGGTCTTTATGCTACAATCAAAAGGGCTTAGACGTCTTGCTCTGAAATTAACATTGCAATCTGGAGAGTGGGTTTTATTTTAGTATCTGGCCTCATTCTGGCAGTCTCAGCCCTCTACAACAACAGATCTTTTAATGATTAATATTATTAGTTAATAGTTGGTCTAGAGTGATAGTTATCTCTTTAATGTTAACAGAAGTAACCACGATAAGAATTGTTCTGTTTTCTCTTCTTTTGGCAGACACCTCTTTCATGTATATGATTGCAGGATTGTGTATGCTAAAACTATATCAGACTCGCCATCCTGACATCAACGCCAGTGCTTACTCAGCCTATGCATCCTTTGCAGTCGTTATTTGCCTTGCTGTACTTGGAGTGGTAGGATGTCTTATGCAATGATGCTATTGTACATAGAGCCCAAGTAAGGCAGAATTTCTGGGTGGTGGGGGAGACACTTCTGTGGACACTCATGAACTTAAACTTAACTTTCATTGATGCCAAACAGCAAAACAAAAACAAAAAAACAAGCAGCTATAGATGCTCAAGTAGAGGCACAATGGCTTAGCAGTTAAAGGCACTGAGCTTGTCAGCTGGAAAGCTGACAGCCTGGGTTTGAGACCTGAACATTGCACAGTATGAGCGCCTGTTACCTGCTCCAGCTCCTGCCACTTGGCAGTTCAAAAGCATGCAAATGCAAGTTGATAAATAGGTACCACATTGGTGGGAAGGTAACATCATTCTTTGTGCCTCTGTGTATATAGTCATGTTGGCCATGTGACCATGGACCAAGTGTTTTTGGACAACCCTGGCTCCTTTGGCTAAGAAACGGAGATGAGCACTGCCACCTAGAATCACATACAACTAGATAGAGAAAACCTTTACCTTTATAAGTGCTCAACCCCATCCATTTGAAAATTTGGGGTATCCTTGAAGGGTATCCAGAAGCTGCAGCTGGTGGAGAAATAGTATAGAAATAGGAGAAATAGCATGAATAGTTCTAGATACCCCAAGGATTGTGCATGCTGTATGAATTTCATTGGGGGCCAATTTACTTCTGGATCCAATTTAAGGTGTTCATTATCACCCTTAAAGTCCTTCATGGCATGGGACCAGGTTACCTGAAAATCATCTTGTCCCAATGATGTAATGTAGACCTTCCCACCTGGTCAGGCATAGAGATATGTTGTGGATGCATCAGCTAAAAAATTCTGACTGAATGTGAGATAGAACTGTGTATTAATAAATAACAATGTCATACATTCTTGTAGAAAGTATTTTAAGTATCATAGCCTAGAGAGTGCTTTTCTCAGAATCCAGGATCAGTCCCTGATTTAATGAAATTATCCAATCAGTAAGTAAAAACAGTTCAAAAAAGTAAAAATAATAAACTGTAATAATAAACTCACTATTTACAGCTCAAATACAACTCATTGCCTTAATAAAATAATCCAAAGTTGCATCTACATTTAGTTTGCATTTAGATTTATGGAAATGCAATTTGAGTATGATTACATTAAAATATAAATCAGACAATTATCTATTCCCATCCCTATTCTACAGCTGCATTACTAAGTTACTGTTAGATTTTTCTGATTATGTTAATTATTGATTTATTGGTATGTCTCACCAATCCTTTCTAATCATCAGACTTAGTTTAAGTTGGAAAAAAGTTCACTATAAAGTTTTTAATATTTTTTTATTTGAAAGCCAGGATATATTACTTGTGTCCGATATTGGGATAACTATTTATTTATTCCTTCCAAGGTTTTTGGGAAAAATGTGTGGTTTTGGGTCCTTTTCTCCATCATCCATGTTGTGGCCTCTCTTGGTCTTAGCACCCAGATTTACTACATGGGTCGTTTTAAGATAGGTAAGTTTTACTTGGAAGTAAATCTAATTAAGATCCAATTATTTTAGGATTTTAGCCCAAACATTGTTGAATAGCAGACAGAATAGTTTTATATTTTGGAGAATCTGCTGCATAAGCAATATACTTAGCAATGTATAAATTTTGTAAGAAATTAGAGATTTGCGAAACTGATTAATATAATCATCCATGGATATATGTTGGTGTGTGTGTGTGTGTGTGTGTGTGTGTGTGTGTGTGTGTGTGTGTGTGTGTATCCTCTATGTAAAGTCAAAGATAAGGTAATCAGTGAAGAAGCAAACCCTTGAAGTTTGAACTAAAATAAAATGAAAATGTGCCACTGTCAGGTAAACTTGGAAAATTAAAACATGAAAATTGAGGGTCAACCTACCTCTGGATGGGCTTATCCATGACTATATACAATATTTTTTGTTTTCTTTATTTAGTTAATTAAAAAATATTCTTTAAAAAGAAATTATCCTGAAGACTGCTGCTTGCATGAAAGAAAAATAGATTAGCTTTATTTAGTGTTACGAGACCCCAAGTTACTTAAGTCTATCTACAAGTATAATGTGCTGTCTTTCAATTGGCTGAGGTAGTAAATTGCTCAGTTCAGAATTAGAAGAAAAATATAGATGAACTGAGAGGAAGAAAGTGATAAAAACTTTGAGAATATCAGCCTAGTCAATAAGACTATGTTACATGTTACATAAGGACCTGCTAAGTAAAAAAAAAAGGCTTCTTGGATTAAAAAAGGAGATAAAAGTGCAGAGTCTAGCTCTACATCTATCGTTCTGGGGGGTTAGTACATTTATAGGCACAGAAAGCTGGTGCATGCATTTCCTTCACAATGGCTATCGCACCAGTTAACGATTCTGATTCTTCACAAAAGCCTTTAAACTGATCTCTTGACTATGACTTGGTGAGTATCTCAACTGCTATCTCTCCTGAGGGTTAATACTTGTGTTCAACAAACCCATCCTGCAATGCATCTTGCACATGATGGTACTTGGTATCATTGTGCTTTGTATATGAAATCAAAATGCAATTTTTGTTGTTCTCAACTATAATTCAGCTTATCTATCTCAAAGTCCAATATTCATTTGGGTAACCAGCTTATTTTTTTTTTTACAAAGTAATGCTGCGGATACACATACATATTGAGATAAAATGTTACAGAGGCAGATACATATTTTGTGATTGAGAGAACTATGAACTGCTTTTTGCTAATTCATCTTTCCACATAGTAAAACAAATTTTTGAGTAGATTTTTCTGTCCTTTATATCTCCATCTGAGCTGCTAGTCTGGAATTATTGTCCATAGGTAACATTAATTTTCAATCTGCAATTCTCCTTAAGTGTCTTTCTACTATCTTGATTCCATCTGGTCTTTCTTTGTTGATGCATTTACCTTCCTGCATAGTATCCCTATTGCTGATGTTGGTCCATTATGAAGAGAAAGTGAGCCAAGTAAATAGTTGAAGTGCAGAGATCAGAGTCAGAAGTGAAGAAGGAAACAGATGAAAGCCTTGAGAATATCTGTCTACCCAGGACTGTCAAACTCCTGGCCCTTGGGCCAATGTGTCATGCGCTGGCCATGCCCATGTCCAGTTTAACAAAGGGTGGGGGAAGTTCCGATACATCATGTGATGTTGCCGTGACGATGTGAGTTTGACACCCCTGGCCTAACCAATAGAAAGCATTTACATAGAGACATGGAAAGCAAGTCTTTTTGATAGGAAAAGAAAAACAGAATTCCTAACTACCTCTACATCTACTACCTCTAATTATTAATAGGTTATAAGTTCAGAAAGCAAATGCATTCAAACAGACAGAATATGAGAATGAGATTTACTCTTTCTTACTGTTTTTTCCTCCGATGGATTACATTTGTTTCTCAATCTTGGCAACTTTAAGATGTATGTATTTCAACTCCCAGGACTCCCCTGCCAGCCAGGTTGAGAAATAGAACTGCAGTAAGAATCCATGTGTTAGGCATCCAGAAAGTATCCATGATATCAATCATTCTGAGACATTTCTCTCCAATTGATTTATTTAGAAACAGATCTGGCATCTCAAAGGCAATTTCCCAAGTGAAATTATTTTCACGCATTACACCAAATCCACCTTATCTCCTCCCTTCTCTCCTCCCACTTCTACACTTCATAAATCACGAGAACCAATTAACTGCCACTGGAATTTCTTAATACAACCTACAGAATAACCTTGAACTTTTCAACTCTTCCAACTCTCTAAAAAAAATGTGGCAGCTGAATTTTAAAGCTGACAGGCGTCCCCCCTTGAAAACTCCTCCTCCTAAAAGAAAGGAAAGAAAAACCAGATACAGGGGTTAACACATTTTCCTTAACCCCCTTCCCCCCCCCATGAGGACCCTTCAGTTTGTGGGGAAAATCCTCATGGAATTGGTTAACCAATTGATCAGCATGAACATCCCAACTCTTTACCCAACTAGCATCCGAGAAAGGGTATCCTTTCCATAAGACCAAATATTGCAATCGGCTACGGTATAATCTAGAATCGAGAATTTTTTGAATTTCATAATGTGTTTCCCCCTGTACGATTAACAGTTTAGGGGGAGCGATTGGCAGTGATCTTATCATTGATGTAGTAGCTGGTTTTAGTAAACTACAATGGAATACTGGATGAATTTTCCCCAATATTCGAGAAAGACTTAATTGGACAGTGACCAGATTGATTATGTTTGAAATTGGGAATGGACCCAGCTTCTTACTGGGCAGTTTCAACCAAAGATACTTGATCAACAAATATACTTTGTCCCCTACTTTAAAAAACGGTTGAAGGGATCTATGTTTATCCACCTGTTTTTTATAACTTTTTGCAGCTTCGGTCAAAGCTTTTTTTGTATCTTCCCATACTTACTTTAATGAGTTCATCCATTCTGTTAGGGACATGGATGAGGGAGGTTGTCTAGGTAACTCTGGCATTGGGACAAAATCCATTCCAGTGTTGGTTTGGAATGGAGTCTATCCCGTGCTGCTATGTACTGCATTATTGTAAGCAACCTCTGCAAAAGGTAACAACTCAGCCCAATTTTCTTGTTGATAATTTACATAGCATCTAATGTATTGTTCAATCAATCACCCTTGAGATGAACCAATTGATTTCAGAAATTCCCTCCAAAATTTTGCGGTAAATTGTACTCCTCTGTCTGATATTATTCTATGAGGTACTCCATGTAGTCTATAGATATGTTTCATGAACAGCTTTGCAAGTTTTTTCGCAGATGGAAGTCCTTTGCAGGCTATAAAATGGGCCTGTTTAGAGAATAAGTCAATTATAGTCCAAATGATTGTATTCCCTTCACTCTTAGATAATTCAACAATAAAGTCCATTGCGATTTCTTCCCAAGGTTGGGTTGGTTCAGCAACTTGTTGCAGGAGGCCAGGGGATTTTCCAGTTCTGTTTCATTGTGGCACAAATTGAGCAACTTTTTACATAGTCCTCAACATCAGCTTTCATTTTTGGCCACCAGAACTGTCTTCTCAGTAAATGTAGGGTTTTTAGGAATCCGAAGTGGCCTCCCAGCCAGGAGTCGTGGCTACGCTTTAGTACCAGTAGTCTTAGGGTTGTGGGTACATAAAGCTTAGTCCCTTTCCAAGCTAGTCCATCATTCATTGTCAACTCGGTTTGATGGTCCAGGAACCAAGGGTCTGTCAATAGTTTTCAATTCTGTAGTCAGCTTATCTTCCAGGTGTTTGGGGTTACGGTTGGCTTGGGCTCGAGTGGTCACTTGTCCTGCCAATTGAGCTTCTGAAATTAAGGCTTGTACTATTTCCTCTCAGTGGCTTTCAAACTGAGGTTTTCTGGACAGAGCGTCCACCAGTACATTTTTCCCTCCGGGGATATATTTAATGTTAAAGTTGAATCGCTTGAAATATTGGGCCTAGCGGACTTGTTTGGGTGATAATCTCCTAGGGGTCTTTAGAGCCTTGAGGTTCTTATGATCAGTCCGTACCTCAAAGGCCTCTGGCGCCCCTTCTAGAAAGTGCCTCCAAGTCAACAAAGCCCATCGTACGGCGAATGCTTCTTTCTCCCAGACCGCCCACCTTCGCTCTGTGTCTGTCAGCTTTTTGGACACATAAGTGCAAGGCATCAATCAGCCTTGAGAGTCCTTTTGCAGCAAAACAGCTGTAGCAACTTCAGCAAAGGATGGAATGAATGGAATGTCTATAGAAGTTGGCAAACCCCAAGAAACTTTGAAGTTGTTTTCGGGTTCTGGGGGGTTGCCAGTCCAGCTCCGCGTTCACCTTTCTGGGGTCCATTTCAATCCCCAGGTTGGATATTCGGTAGCCTAAGTAGTCCAACGACTCTTTGTGGAATTCGCATTTTGAGAGTTTCACATATAATTTGGCGGCTAGAAGTTTTTCTAGAACTTGTCGGACCAATTGAACATGGTTTCACTGAAGATAAGGATGTCATTCAGGTACACGAGGACCCCCCTCCCCTGATAAAGATGCAGGTGTAGCACCTCATTGATGAGCTGCATAAACACTGCAGGAGTCCCCTGAAGTCCGAAAGGCATGACTATGAATTGGAAGCTACCCAGTGGGCAGTTAAAAGCAGTTTTCCACTCATCTCCTTCTTTGATGTGGACCCGATAGTAAGCTTCTCTGAGATCTAGCTTGGTGAATATCTTGCCCTTCAACAGATGGTTCAATAAGTCCTTCTTAAGGGGGAGAGGGTACATGTTTTTGACGCATATGGCGTTCATGCCTCTAAAGTCAACCCACAATCACAATCCATCTTCTCCTTGAACAACACAGGGGCAGCTAGTCTTGATTTGGCAGGCTCAATAAAACCTCGTTCCAAATTGCTGTCAATGTATTTCCTTAATTCAGTCATTTCAGCAGGCGTCATGGAATACATCTTTGGTTTTGGTAATTTCGCCCTGGGTTCTAATTCTATGGCGCAATCAGTGGCTCGATGAGGAGGTAAGACATTACACTCTTCTTCACTGAATACTTCATCCAAGTCTTTATATTGGTCAGAGACCTGGGGGTTATCTGGGAGAAGGTGGGATGCCATGGATGCTGGCTCAGGCTCTGGGTTCAAGCTGACCAGTGGCTTTGTAGTGAGTGGAAGAGGGGGCAATTGGCCTGGTCCAATGAGGATTTTTCTGAATCCATCCTCCCATTTGATCATCGGGGCCCATTTGTCTAGCCAAGCAAGTCCCAGTATGATTGATTCTGACATCTTGGGGGCCACTAAGAAGCCTATGAGTTCGCGATGGAGTCCTAATTCCATCTTGATCAATTCAGTCATCTGAGTGGCTCCCCCCCCCATTAAGGTTCCATCCACGTGCTCAAATCTGATTGGGCGTTTTAGTGAGTTAGTTTTTATGCCCAAATGTTCAACGATGGGGAGTCCGATAAGACATCTAGAACACTCAGTACCAATGACAGTTTCTAAATCCCCGACCTCCCCCGTGTTTGGTACCACTACCTTGACCTTGACTGTAAAAGGTATGATGGGATCACTCACCATTGAGTCATCTTCGCAGGTCGGGTTCTTGGGGACGTGGTGGCGGTCTGGTGGTCCATTTCTCCCGTCTGCACAGAGGGGGCTTTCCCAGCTGTGTTTGGCAAACCTGCCCCTGGCCAGAGGTCTTACTTGATTCTTCCGACCTCTAACAGATGGATTAGACTTCGACTGCGGAGCTTGTGGTACAGGAGCAGGGGCCAGACAGTCTGCTGCTCTATGGCCGGCTTGGCCACATCGGTAACATTTCAGCACCCTGGTAGGTTGGGTACGAGCAGATTTGGCTGATCCGCTCGGTGGTCTCCTAGCCACAATTCTCTTAGGCAGGGCTGCTGGAAGGGGTTTCCCGTGTGGGTTGATGCTGCGATTTAAGCTGAGGGATGCGACATACCATGATTGTAAGGTCTCTGGGATTCCCTAATTTCACAGGCTTTCTTTACTTCTGGATCAATGGCGTTTTTAAAATAGTGTAAAGTCATTATTTCAGGCCAATCCATGAGGTGGCTTGCAACCCTTCTAAAGTCCCAAATGAATTCTGGCAAGGGTCGCTTGCCTTGCCTCATTTCCATTAACTTCTCTTCATTCTCTGCTACCTTGTCTGGATTTTCAAATCTGAGTCTTAATAATTGAATAAATGCATTTACATCGCGTAATTCAGGGGCTTGTTCATTGTGTAGTTGGGCCACCCAGTCTAAAGTATCCCCTTCATTCATCCTGTTTGTTATGGCCGTAATCAAATCGCACTCTGTGGCGTATTGATCTCCAAATTGTTCTATATGGGATCAGATTTGAGTGAGGAAGTAATTGAAATGTTCATGGCGGCCATCGAATATGGTCTTAAAAGGTATTTGGTCCAGCCTAGGTCGTGGTTGCGGAGGTGGCACAGGCCAGGTCCTTGCAAGTTGTACTGGAATGGAAGGAACTGGCCTGGTGGCGTATGTAGGCTGGGTAGGCCCCCTGTATCCTGGCTGGGTGGTGCCTCTCTGGAATAGGGGTCTCTATGGCCTCGCTGCCGGTTGGGGCTGCATTTGTGGTGGCCAGGAGGAAGATGGGTGTGGCCTGTTTCCCTGGTCAGGTGGAGGGGAAGTGGTTGCTGTCTGTTGTCTGGGTAATCCCCCTTCAGACCAAGGCTGGGTTAGTGCTGGCTGCCATTGGCATTGAATCCACCCCTGGCCTGGATAAAATCCCCACCCTGGATACTCTCTGCAGGGGGCAAAATTCCCTCTGGAAAATGAGGGGATTGCCTCGGAGGCTGCCACATACCCTCTGTCAGATGATGCGTCTTTCTGGCTTCCTCCCACTAGCATCTGTATCGTCTCCTCCCTCCAATCAGACAGAATAGCAATCTGGCTGGGGCTCGAGAAAGATTTCTCTTCAACCGGCTGGGTTACCTCTGGGTTATAACAACTTCATGAGTTGAAACACTTCGGTATAGCTCCCAAACCTCTTTCTTCTAATGTCATTCTGAAAGCATCCATCATCTTCTCCAAACAAAGGCTTGCAGATTCAATTAATGTTCCAGAGGGAGGGCCCCCATACTCTCCCCCCTGCATCTCTCCAACTTCAGCTGATTGTTGATAATTTTCCATCTCAGGAAAAAGAACTCGGAGGTATCAGCCAAGCCCCTTCAAAAATTAAAAGAATGACTTGGGAAATAAATGTTAGGCATCCAGAAAGTATCCATGATGTCAATCACTCTGAGACATTTCTCTCCAATTGATTTATTTAGAAACAGATCTGGCATCTCAAAGGCAATTTCCCAAGTGAAATAATTTTCGCACGTTACACCAAATCCACCTTCTCTCCTCCCACTTCTACACTACATAAATCACGAGAACCAATTAACTGCCACTGGAATTTCTTAATACGACATACAGAATCACCTTGAACTTTTCAACTCCTCCAATGCTCTAAAAAAATGTGGCAGCTGAATTTTAAAGCTGACACCATGTTGACTTTTTATGCATTACCTAATACTGACCCATTGCACATGTATTTATTTGTGTTGTGTTCCTGAAAGCAACAGTTACTTTTCAGCAGGTAGTGCTTTTCACAGGAAGAATAGAGCTGCTAATTGTGTATGTAGGTACATTTTGGTTGGCAAGCGTTTGAGGACACCTCCTAGCTGCCTTATACTCCCCTTGCTGTGTCAATATATTCTTCTCACAAGCATTTCCCCCTTCTTTTCTTTTCTGCTTCACTTGGAGCCAGATGTCTCTGATCCAGGTAACTAGCATTTGGTGTTAAACCTTCCCCTTTTGGACTAAGCAAAAAAGGATTTTGGCAGCAAGACTAAGAAGCATGCTAATTTTTCTGGATTTTTATAGAAAAGTCAATAGCTTGAATCCCCTTAGTCTTCTGAATAGAAATTGTTAAACAAACCAGATGGCATAATTACTCTATTATTTCTCAAGAATGCTGGTTGCTGGAGATGGTATAAATGAGCACCTTTCAGCAAACTTACTGGCAGATATGTTTTTTATAAAATGCTTTCATGGGGCCTGATTTTAAAAAGCAACCTACAAAAAAATGGTAGGGAAGCTGAGTCATATAGAATGATGGTATCTCTAGTTAAACATTGAAAAGACCTAAGAAAATAGAAGGTCAAAGTTACTTCCTGTTAGGGACTTGGAGCAAGGCATAGTGAAGACAGCATAGCTGACACAACCATCTATTCTGAGACTTGGATAATGGTACCAACGATTCTTAGAAGAAAAGATAGCCCTTCAGATGCACATGCTCTTAGTTGCATGAAACTTTTAAGTACAGTATTAAAGCAAGTATCTATTTACATTCAAAAATGTATTGGGAATTATTGAAACATTTCCATTCACCCTGTCTTGGTCAAGATTTGACCAACCTCTTGATAAAACTAGTTTTCCACTGTGTGGATTGTGACGCAGTGGCTCAGTGGCTAAGATGCTGAGCTTTTTGATCATAAAGTTTGGCAGTTCAGCGGTTTGAATCCCTAGCACCATGTAATGGAGTGAGCTCCCATTACTTGTCCCAGCTTCTGCCAACCTAGCAGTTCGAAAGCATATAAAAATGCAAGTAGAAAAATAGGGAGCACCTTTGGTGGGAAGGCAATGGTGTTCCGTGTGCCTTCAGCGTTTAGTCATGCCGGCCACATGACCCCAGAGATGTCTTTGGACAGCGCTGGCTCTTCAGCTTTGTAACGGAGATGAGCACCGCCCTCTAGAGCCGGAAATGATTAGCACGTATGTGCGAGGGGAACCTTTATTTTTATCTTATATTCGGATATTCCATGTTATCTACGTTCCGAAAGAATCAACATTTATGTATCAGCCAGAGCTGGTAGAAAGCAGTTCATGTCTCAGAATGTGTCTTTAAGAGATAAGTCCCATTCAAAGTATTGCTCTACTATAGTAGAAATGAGCAATTTACAGGAATCAGTAGAATTAACTTTCTTTTTCTATTTTTTCAGCCTCAGAGAGGGTAAAAGACCAGATTGACAGTATGCTAATTGTAGATGGGACTGAAATGTTAGTTAGAAGGACCTATTTCTAAATTTAGATGATTTAGGGGTGAAATGAGTAGATAAATTCTTACAAAGGTTTGCCATGTAGCAAACAAATTGGGAAAAGCTATATTCCTTGAAAGTTAGTATTTTTGCTGCTTATTTTTGGCTACATATTCTGGAAGTGCTCTGGAAGATGTAAAAGGAATGTTAGGCCTGTAGCCTGTGATTACCAATCCATAACTGAGATTACAATCATCTCCTACAAAAATCCATTCTTAATTATCTCAAAATTTCCTAGCTTTCAGCTGCCTAGTAATCGTATAAAATTAGTGTGAAAGTAACTAGTCGTCAAGGATCCTTTGTCCTTTTCTGAAAATCAAACATTTTCCAATAGATTCCAATCTACTTTGTGCCAGCTCTTGCTTCTCAGTCCTGGGTTATATATTTGCTTCAACATGATCTCAGTCAAATGCTGATTGCCATATTTTAATTCCCTTTGTCGTTTTCTGCCATAGACCTTGGGATTTTTCGACGCATAGCTATAGTATTGTACACCGATTATATACAACAATGCAGCCGACCCATGTACATGGTAAGTACTTTTTTCAGTTCCTTGAAGTTATCTCTGATGGATTATGAAAATGCTTTTCTTTCTCGTTTGAAAACATATAGATTAGTTTAAATAAACACTAAATAAATATTAAATTTGCCACTGTAATAGTAATCTACAGTATTTTCAGAAATTACTTTGACTTCCACTTGGAATTCTTTTTCTTGCTCTCGTATGAGGATGTGCCTGCTCAGAACCACCATCTGGAACTTTCTTAGTGGGAGGCCCACTCTCTCCCCTGTGCAGATAGTCCTCAAAATCTGACCATTCATTCAGTGATCATTTGAAGTTCAGCTGCTGAACAAATGGTACTTATAACCAGTCCCTGAAGTTATGATCATTGCAGTACCACCCCCACAGTCATATGATATATGAGTACATGTTAAAAAGATACATCATCCTGTTCTCCTTGAATAATTATTATGTAATTAAGTTACCAAATGGTAGATTTTGGTTTAACATAAGAATATATGTCTCCTAATAGAGATAATAAGTTCCCCTTAAATGTTTTGAAGCAAAGACTGGGCAAGCATTTCTCAGATATCTTTTAATCTGGATTCAGGATTGGAAACAATGGACTACAGCACTCCTTATGATTTTTTTATAAGTTTTTGTAACTTAATTTCTGAATTCAGATGACAAAACTACTATGGATGATGGAGGGTGATCTGTGTGTGCATGGTATACATGGAATGCGAGTTGAAATTTCTAAATGATCCAACATGCTCTAAAAGCTTATAATGATGCTAAAGCAAATGCAAATGTATATCAGATATGCAACTTCACATCATAAACTTTAAGTATTAACATTAGCATTAGATCCTCCCATGCTGCACAGCATATCGGGCAGCAAGGCCACTCCAGCATTTTTGGTCTTGGGTGAGTGCTTCTGCATCTTTCTGTGTGATGTTTAGAGTCTTTAAGTCTTCAATGAACATTCTTCACCATGTATTTCAAGGGCGTCCTTTTGGTTGTTTGGCATGGGAGGGGGTGTCCATCTCATTGCCATCTTGAAGATTTGATAGTTCTCCATGTGGAGAATATAACCTGCAAACTGCAATCTTCTACATGTGACAATGTTATGTAGTTCGCAGGAGAAGTTGTAGTGATAAAGATGACGAGAACCAGATTTTATTCATCTTCTGTTGCTTTCCCAATGCAGCACTTGATCTCTACCTCTGCATCACCATTTCAGGCTACCTAAATACACTACCCAAATAGGTAAACCTTCCTACTTCCTCAAGTCACTGTGATCCAAGTGTGATTCCCCATATCTGTGCGGTAGAGCTCACATACATGATCTCGATTTCTTGGCACTTATCCTGAAACCAATTTTGTTTGCCTCTTATTTATCTAAGGCAGTCATCACTTGTAGTTTCATCTCGTCTTCCTCATGTAGGGCAATATCATCTGTAAAATCCAGGTTGAAGATGGTCTTGGTCAAAATAATGAATGCCTTTCCCAATGCGGGATTTTCAATGCATAACACAGTCGAGGGCCACAAGGAAGATGAGTGGTCACAGAATACAGTCTTGTCTAAGTAGTAATTTCAAATAAGTTCATATGGCCATCTTCGATCTTAATGCAGCAGCTTGATAGTATAAATCCTTAAAGATAGTCATGAAGACTGTCAGTAAACCATAAATGTAGGATCTGCCAGAGAGATTCTCGGCGGAGATTGTCAAATGCTTTCTTAAAACCAATAAAGTTGACGGCCAGTGGTTGCCGATATTCAGTGCACAGTTCTATATTTCATAAGGTGAAGATTTGTTCACAGCAGGACCTTCCACACCGAAATCCAGCTTGTTCTTCTCTCAGACGTTGGTATATGGCACTTTGCAGCTGCCTAAGGGAACTATGTGAAAAACCTTTTCAGGCACTGAGAGGAATGAAATGCCAGTTGGTGCACTCTTATCCTTGATCAGAACATTGGAGCTATTCCTTATTCCAGTCTGTTCATTAGAAATGTAATAAAGAGTTTTGTTGCTTCTTGTGCCTCAGTGCCTTTCCAGCCATTCTTTCTTGTCTTCACAGCAATTTCTCTTCACCATTTGGTTGAGCTCTATACATTCCCAGTTTGATTTTTTTTAAAAAATTTAATCCACATAATTTTAAGTATGCTGTTAATTATTTCCTGTTGTAAGCATTGGGATAAAACAGAAAAATGTTGCTATGATTTGATTTCAATTGTTCATTTTTGGTTATTCTTTCTTTTCTCTAGGACAGAATGATTTTGCTTGTTGTTGGGAACCTGGTTAATTGGTCTTTGTAAGTAGCAAATGTATGTTTGTAGATTTATCTTGGACAATCAAGAGATACAAGTGTCTGTTAGAGAAGCTCTGTCTCTGAAATAGTTCTGTCTACTATTTTTAAAACATTTTTTCAAGTTGACAAATTATCTGATATTTAACAATTTCTTCCCATTCCTTGTTTCCCACCCTGGAAATTCTAGAATTCTTAATGTGATTATTGCAGCATAGGAACCAGACTTCATTAGGGAATTAACTTGGTAACTATTTAGAACACATAGTTCCTCCTAAAGGAATTTCTAGTTCCTTCCTTTCCCCATTCCCCTTATAGTTCAGCCTTAAGTTTGATTTAGATTTCTGTGTCACTGCACATGCAGGGAATGTATGTGTCTGTTGTTCGGAGACAGTGACATTGTTATTGCATTTATATTAATATATGAATATTAATGTCCTGGCTAAGGGACATTCAAACAACAATCTGTTTTGCCTTTGCCTGCCTCCCAGCAGGAAATTAGTTCAACCAATCAGTATGTAGAGCACACACTTCCCTGCAGCACACATAGTTGAGATTTGCAATCTACAACCTACACTTACCCATCAACCCCTTCATAGCATATGTGTTGACAACTATGCACGATTGTGGGCAAGTCCTAATCAAGCCTAAAGGTGTTGCCAACCCCAGCAGGGACTCAGGAACAGCCTCTGCATGAATAAGTCCAGTGACTCTGACTTAAGCTTGATTTAGACTTGTTTCTGCAGTGCCTGGGAGACATGGTCAAAATCGTTTGATTTTTGGAGCCATTTTTAATATATATTTATTATGTTTTATCAATGGGAATAACATACAAATCAGAAAAAATACATCCAACAGTAATAGCACCAAAAAAAATGTGTCCAAAAAGGGGGAAATTTTTTTTAAAAAATGACTCAGACAAACAAACAAACAAAAAGCACCTTGGCTGGATGTTGAAAATAAAAATAAAAAATACCTTATAAATTCTCCCCTTACATAATGGGTCTGCATAATGAGGGCAAGGTGAAACATGAAAGTATAAACTTTCTCATCCTTATTTAACAAGAAAAATATATAAACATATATTTCAGATGAGGAGGGGTCTAGGTAATAATTGATATCAATTATATGAAAGAAAAAAGTCAACATGTTCACCCAAATAGTACACTAGTCTTCAGATTCCTTTGTTAACCATCTGTTATTATGTTTAACATGAAGAAAGTCCACAAATGGTTTCCAGTCTCTTATAAAGCTGCCTAGTCCATTATCTCTAAGCAAGGCAGTTAATTTTGCCATCTCTGCTAATTCAGTCAATTTTAAAATTCATTCTTCAACAATCGGCATCTTCTTTCCTTTCCAGTGCTTAGCAAGTACAATCCTTGCAATGGTCACCATGTAAAGAAATACAGTCCCAAATTGTTTTTTGATTGATATATCCATTATACCTAAATAAAAGTTTCAGATTTTATTAATATTTGTATCTTGAGTATTTTCTGCATTATAATGAAATCATTATAGATCAAGATGTTTTACAACTATAATTAAAATGATTCATTAAAGCATCGTTATATTTTTTTGACCAGAAAATCATAATTGTTCTAAACAAATTAATCTGGATCAGTTTTGCATGCAACCGTCTTGGATTACATTGCCTTTATTTTTCTCTCTTAGCGCAATTTTTGGACTAGTATATCGGCCAAGGGATTTTGCTTCTTACATGCTGGGCATTTTTATCTGCAATCTTTTGTTATATCTTGCCTTTTATGTCATCATGAAGGTCAGTGGTTCTTATTACTTGTTAGTTAATGTCAGTTATATTGCCAAACCTAGACTGCTTTGAAGGGGGGAGTAGATTATTGTATGGTAGAATATGTTTTGTTCAGTGCTCAGCTTTCAGATCTGCCCTTCAAGAGTTGACTACAGGTTTTTAAGCCTTTGGATAAGAGACCTCAGAGAATATTATTAATTTATGATGAAGTTATTCTTCAGAGACAGAGATTGCATATTTTGAATAATCAGTGTACATATGATTTATATAAACTTGGAAAAGCACAAATCAACTATTATATTAAGTTAAATACAGGTATTAACTACATTCCAAAACCTCAAACTTAAAGAGGAAAACACAATTTATCAAAGTTTACATTTATGGTCAGGCTCCTTATATGGAAATACCAGATGAAAAGAAGGAAGAGGAAGGCGCCATACTTGCAGTCAAAGATGAGATTAGCCCTCTTCCAGGAATGAACTGCTGTCATTTTAGGATACCTGCGCATTTTAGATTTCTAAGCAATGCTAAGAACATGGTAATATGGAACAAATTCAGGTAGATTTGTCTTCCTTTCAACCAGGGCTGGAGTTAAACTGGCTTGAAAAGAAAGCTAGACTGGCTTGACGTGAAAATGCTAGCTTTGCTAAAAAAAAATGATTAGTCCTCCCTTTTTTATGCATCTCATAGGAAATGTTCATTCAAATATTATACTTTTTGTCTTTCCAGCTACGCAGTTCAGAGAAGTTATTGCCTTTCCCTCTCTTTTGTATTGTGGCCACAGCTTTAGTTTGGGCTGCAGCTCTTTATTTCTTTTTCCAGAACCCCAGTAGCTGGGAGGTAAGTTCCTTCCTTTCTATTTGCTTCTGTTCCACTTCAGGAGTATTTGAAATTATCATAGATTACCAGAAAGAAAGGAGCCAAAGAAGCATTAGAGAATATATGGACAAAATTTCAGAATCAAAATTTTGTTTTAAAACTCAGCTTTAGCTTCCTTCACTGTGACCTAATTTTTTGTGCCAAGATCTATAGAATATTAATATAAAACTAGTGTGATCCTTTAACTTATTGTTGAATCTAAGTCATATAGAAACATATTCCATTTTTCTCCTTCCCTTTTTTATAAATACATTTCAAAAATTTATAAAGAACACATCTCTTGAAACCATTCTTTAACATAAAGAATATAAATTTCTACCTATATAGGGACCATTCTATTTTCCTGAAAGGTTTGGTAAAGCCAGAGCACGGCATTAAAAAAGCAAAACCATATTTTTGGTGTGCAATTCAGTTTCACCAATTACTTATAAAAAACTTTTTATTAATGCTGCTGAAGGAAATTATTTGACATGTTGCTTTTGAAAATCATGGACATTATATAGTTGGTACTATCATTTTAATTATATTTGATATTTATTTTATTACATAGCTACTTACATTAAATGCCCTCTGAAATTCTCAGAGCAGCTTACATAGGAAGCCTTAATAGATTCATTCATCAGTTTTGTCCTTTTCACCACTCATTCCTCCTTCAATTGGAGTAGTGAGTTTGGTAGAAAAGATCATTTGATCACTGAGATATAAGGCTAGATATAAGGTTACATTTTTTGTTGGGAAACATCTAAAATTCACTGGTTTTATCATTTCCTCCAGGAAACTCCAGCACAGTCTCGTGAAAAAAACCGACCATGTATCCTTCTGGGATTCTTTGATGACCATGATATCTGGCACTTCCTCTCAGCTGCTGCCTTGTTCTTTTCATTCTTGGTGAGATTTTTCTTAATAACAAAATAATGTTCTAAAGCAGTGGTTCCCAAACTTTTTCAGTCCACCGCCCCCTTGGTGCTACAAATTCATCCTCAGTGCCCCCCACGCAGGGGTGGGATTCAAATTTATGTGGGCGTGGCCTAATTTGGGGGTGTAGCTTGCTGGTCACGTGACTGGGTGGGCATGGCTTGCTGGTCACGTGACTGGGTGGATGTGGCTTGCTGATCATGGGACTGGCTGGCGTGGCTTGCTAGCTGGGCATGGGGCTTGCTGGTCACATGATGGGGTAGGTGTGATTTGGTGGTCATGTGACTGGGTGGGCGTGGCCAGGTGACTGGCAATCCAAGTATAAGTGGCCGGTTGTTTAGCAAGTGTTCTAATTTATGACTGGCCTCCCCAGAGATACTTGACCTGTTTTTGGAGTTTTGACAGCCATGCACACACATACACATGACACACTCCCTTCTAACCCTGCTGGAGCAGGTCATTGCACTAGAATCGGCAAAGCATCTCTGATTAGATTCTAGCAGTGAATAAAATCTAATCAGAGATGCTTTGCCAATTCTTGTTGATTTGTTTTATTTGTATCTCATTATTTTATGTTGCTGAATTGCATTGACATGTGTGTCTCTTCTTGTGTACAACCCAGAAGCTTTTGTGATTCTTTGCAGCAAAAATTACCGACCTCTGGCTTTGCTCTACTTTTCAAACATGCCGACACTGCCGTGTTCTAGGTGCCGGCCCCACAAGTCCACCCCATTGAACCCACTGCATTGGAGGGACCTACCCAAGCAAGTCAAGTCAATGGGGTGAGCCTGAGAGAGGGAAAGAGAGAGAAAGAAAAGAAAGAGAGAGAGAGAGAAGGAAGAAAAGAAAGAGAAAAGAGAAAGAAAGAAAAAGGGACAAAGAAAGGGTGGTGGTGGAAGGAAGGGACAGAAAGAAAAAGAAATAAAGAAGGATGGATGGAGGGAGAAGAAAGATAATGAAACATCTATTCTAGTCCAATCACTTGCTCCAGCAGGGTTAGAAGGGTGTGTGTGTGTGTGTTCTCCTTGTAATTTACCAGTACATTTTGGTTTTGCCTTCTTCAGGATTGGCACTGTAATACATTAGGGAAAAGTAATTTTTAAGGTGGAGATCTGGTCCAATGGATCCTGTTTAAAGCCTCAACAAAATGTGAGAGTTTCCTGATAGTCTTGACCATGTTTTGTCCACAAAACCTTTAATAGAAGCCAAAGATGTTTCAATGTGGAAAAGGGCCTCAGTCTAAACTCATTTCAATCAGATGCATCAGGTCTCTCTCTCTCTCTCTCCCTCTCTCTCTCTCTCTCTCTCCCCCTCCCTCCCTCCCTCCCTCCCTCCCAGACTGGCTTTGCTCTACTTTCCCAATATGCCTGCGGGGCTGGTGCTTCGAACATGGATAGATGGATGGATGGATGGATAGAGAGAGAGACAGACAGAGAGAGACAGGTAGCTAGATAGGTAGATAGATTGGTAAATAGGTAGATAGGCAGGCAGGCAGACCTTTTGGATGGATGTATGGATAGGTAGGTAGGTAAGTAGATTGGTAGGTAGGTAGGTAGGTATGTAGGTAGATCCATGTTGGTAGGTAGGTAGACAGACAGAAAGACAGGAAGGCAGGCAGGCAGGCAGGCAGGCAGACATTTTGGATGGATGGATGGATAAATAGATGATAGATAGATAGATAGATAGATAGATAGATAGATAGATAGATAGAT